CCTCCTGGACCACTCTTCCACGATGGCCGCTTCTTTGGCCAGGGAAATGTCCAGTTTTCCCAGCACCCATTTTCTTCCATCTCCAGTAGGGGAAGCTCCGACTTGTGACGTAGAAGACGCGGCCACCCTGAATCGGATATAGCGGTGATCCGACAGGGTTTCAGCGTCAACCACCACTGTCCAATCTGCGATACGGCGCGCCAGGGGGGCAGAGGCGAATGTGACGTCAACCACCGACCCTCCATTGTGACGTACACACGTCAACTCGCTTCCCCTGTTGAGGACCTCCAAACCGAGGCTTATAGCCCACTCCTCCAGTAAATTTCCCCGTGCGTTCGTCACCGCAGATCCCCACGCTCGAGATTTGGCGTTGAAATCCCCGGCGACTAGCACGGGGCAAGGGTGCACTCTGTTGACTAGAGCTCCCACCTCAACAAGAACTTGCTGAAAAGCAGTAAAGCCCTCGTTAGGGGAGCAGTACACCCCCACTACTGCAGTGCCGCCCACGCTAACCATCACATAACCTCGGCCCCTGGCTGTAAATATCAGAGGAGGGGCTCCGTTGACTCGCGATGCGACGATGGCCACTAGTCCCTCCGTATCCCCAACCCAGTCATCCCGAGGGGGCACATATTACAATAATATAGTTTTGCGTATATTATATCCTGTTTTTTCTATAAAATATATGTATAACATATATATTTTTAATCAATTAAATTATATTTATTTCTAAATATTAATACATTCATGATGTATATCTCAAGGCGTCTGAAATGTCATTTTTTTTAACAATTTTTATTTAGATTTTTTTTAACTCACCACACAACTGACCTATTATAATATTATCATTAATTGTTTATTTCTAGATTTTTTTATTTTAAATATTTTAGTTAATATACCGCACGAGCCAACATTTATATTTAAAGAAAAAAACATGTTAAAATTACTAAATAACCGGTTTTTAATATAAGCTATTAGGATTCAGAACACGTGGCTTGTGTTTTAAAGTTCAATGAAAAAATATATATAGTTTTTTTTTGATTCGCATAAAGATTAATTTATTTATGTAATTTTATAATATATTTAATAGTTTAAGAATTTAATGTATATTATTTTAATACAAAAAAATAACTATTTTATTCAAATTAAATATATCAATATAATATCTGTGTGTTGTATACACACTTTTTTCAAATTCTTAGTCTCATTCCAATTTAAAGATTCAAAAAGATAATCATAATGATATAATTAATAATAAAGTAAAAGTAGATTCATTTATCTTCAATATTTACTTTTAATGTCTTCAGATACTCCTTTTTTATGTAATATGCCAAGAATTTAAGACGCTCACCAAAAAATATTTTTTTTCTAATAACAAGCTTATTATAAAACGTCTATAAAAACTAAATTAATTAAAATTTTTAATTGATAATTAATTTAGTAAATACAAATATATTATGAACTTAGAGTCTGTGGCAAGACCATAGTATAAGCTTGTACGCACACACTACTTACGGAGATTTAACAGTTCGCAAATACTATAAACAGAAAACGTTACGTATTCAGTAACGATAGAAACTCGTATTAAGGTATGTTCTAGTATATTTTACATATAATATGTATTGGAAACGATATTAATTTATAACTATTTACGCCACTGATGCCTTTGAGCTAATTTATCTTCATTTTCAAATAACTAAATTAATTTCATTTAACATATATACGCGGTAGTTTTTTTTATATATATTTTGTGTGTATATCAAAAAAACTTTTGAAAAAACGACAACAAATTATATTGTATTACAATACGGACGGGTGTTCTAAAAGGAGGCTTGTGTGATATTTTTTTTACGTGTTAATTATTTTTCTTCCTATTTATGAGTTAATAGTTTGTTTTTTTTTAAGTATATTGAAGGCAATGCGCTTAATAGAAGTTTGCATAGTAATAATTACGAAGCGTTTCCAGTATCATATTCATAAATCTTGGACTTAATAAGTACACCGTAGATTATTGAAAGGGGAATAAAAAAATCATTAGTATATACATATTATGCTAAGTTGCATGATCCATGCATAGCGTGAACTGTAAAGTACAAAAGTTTTATTAGTTTATGTAAATATAATATTATAAATAAAGATTTTTTAACTTTAAATTAAGGCAATATTTTTTTTATAAATAAAACAAGGTTTAAAAAACCGGTAAAAGTTATAATAATATCGAATATGTACATTATTTTGTTTATTTTAACATATTTTATAAATATCACGTGATGGAAAAATTTCATTTTGAAAAATTTAACATCAATTTAAAATACAAGTTTTTTCGGATCCTTATTTTTAAAAACCGGTTATATAATCTGTATAAATTATATAATATCTGTGGTGAATAACCGATTTTTTAATAAGGGCCATTCATGTAAAATACATAGAATAAAAATTAAACGATTAATAATGTTTTGCTATATAAAAAAATGGCGGCATTGAGAAAAATGACGAAATAATATGTCAAGTTGCATTTTTTATTTATTCTATGTTTCTTTTAATGGAAAATGTGTTTTCTTAAATTAATTTATTATTAACTTTCAAATGAATATATTATTTTTGTATCCTTATTAAATTTATAAGCTTATCTAATATTTTATTCAAAGACATTCTTGTCAATAATGCTCTTGACCTAATCTTTGACTTGTTGTTTTTTGTATGATATAAAGCGGGCTTATACTAATGATCTTATTCTTGGTTCAACAAACAGATGAGCACTGAGATAAAAAGATATTTATATTGAGTTATAATCCTATAAATGAAACTAATATATTCGGATTATTTTTAAGTAGGAGATATATACTCCCGACGTTTCGGTTACTTTGCAGCAACCGTGATCATTAAGACAAGATGCTGAAAATAATAAAATAAGGGTAAAAATCAGAAAATCTTAGTTTAATTTAAATGAATACTCGCGAAAGTCTTAGATCTCATTATTTTGTTACCTTTTTGTATTTTTATATAAGTTAGTTATTAGTTACTATCGTACACATACGTATACGCTTTTTTAGTATTTCTTTAATACATCACAGTTCATTTTACTTAATATTGTATAGTTATTGTATGAGAAACGTCAAATGTTACGTATGTGACGTGACAATGACTTGTAGTAAGCACATTACATTACAAAAAGAGACGTGAATGTCTGTCTGTGATCACGGTTGCTGTTAAGTAACCGAAACTTTGGGAATTTGTAGTTAATAAAAAACAAGAAACAAAACAATTGGTTATTGTAGCAAAACAAATATATAGTTACTGAATTAAAATTATTGTTTCATACCAAAAACTAAAAGATTTGCTTATGTAATGTATTTGAATAATATTTTTTTAACGCATTTAGTTATTTAAATATAACTTGATTTCGTGATGATATTTTCATAAATTATGTTAGTCTCATGTTAAGATGTGCGGATAGCTTCTTTTATTGTACTAAATGTCAATCTCTACTAATATTATAAATGCGAAAGTGACTCTGTCTGTTACGCTTTCACGCCTAAACCACTGAACTGATTTTAATGAAATTTGGTACAGAGATAGAGTTGACCTTGAGAAAGAACATAGGATAGTTTTTAACGCAGACTTTTGAAAGGTTCTCTTGGAAACGCGATATAACCAAACTCCACGCGGGCGGAGCTGCAGGCGGAAAGCAGTCTTATATATAAAATTTTCGTGTCGCGTTGTTAGACAGAGAACTCCTCCGAAACGACTAGACCGATTTTGATGAAATTTTGTAAGCATATTGAGTAGGTCTGAGAATCGGCCAACATCTATTTTTCATACCCTAAGTCATAAGGGTTGTTCACCCTTATTTTTTTCGGACGAATTTTTTTTTTTATAATAGGTACAGCATTAAAAATTACATTCAACCCAAAATTTTTACTTCTTTATCACAAATTCCTATTTTTTTATATGGCAAATCAACGTTTGCCGGGTCAGCTAGTAAAATATAACAATTTATATATAGCAATTTTCTTATAACAAAAATTTTATTTTCTTATATGATAAATTTTATATTTAATTTAATTTTACATCTATATAGTTTTACCATACGTTTGCATAGTCATACTACTTAACAAGCGTTAATAGTTTATCATTTCTTAATCAACACATTAAAGTATTGGCATAGGTTACTGAATATAAAACGGAAAACGTTTCGTATTTTTGTCTATACAAACTTGTGTTAAGCATATCAGTTCATTGATATTGCACATTTATAGTCAACTAGCTTTCCGCCAGCAGCTTCGCCCGCGTCGAGTTCGGTTATATCGTGTTTCCAAGAGAACTTTTCAAAATGCTGAGATAAAAACTATCCTATGTTCTTTCTTAAGGTCAACTCTATATCTGTACCAAATTTCATTGAAATCAGTTCAGTGGTTTAGACGTGAAAGCGTAACAGACAGACAGACAGAGTTACTTTCGCATTTATAATATTATATACTAGAAGACCTGGCGAACCTCGTATCGCCCTATAATCAAGAAAAATCTGTTACGTTTTTTTATTTATATTTTTGGAGTTTACCTGTAAGCCATAAATCTCCGTGTTTTGAACTGCGATAGAATGATTGACATATTAGTTAGTTGTCAAATCTAATGTCAAAAAGAACGTTTGTATGGGAAATAGCAAAAGACTATTTTTATGGTTTTCCCAGTAATGAATCAATTTTTTTCAGCTTTTATGCCTTCCCTGAACCTCCACGAACATTTCAAGACTAAGATAAGATAAATCCGTTCAGCTGTTCTCGAGTTTTAGCGAGACTAAGGAACAGCAATCCATTTTTATATATATAGAAGATGTAGGTAGACCCTGGCTAAAGCTGGGAGGTTGCCAGGAAGAAGATTATATATTAAGTAGGGAAGTAGGAATATTTTTTCAAAACCACCCAAGCTAAGCGAATTTCAATGACAAATACATACAAGGAATGGAAATGTATTATTTAATTCATTATTTCCAGATCACAATGAAGCTGCCTCGTTTCGATTTCGAGAATGGTTCGTCAGCTCGTAAGCCGACGAGGGTTGTTATTTACCACGACCGGTACACGGCTGGGGAAACCACTGGTGGATTGAGTGCCCTCTTCACGATGCTCTGCATAATTGACCTGTTTGGAGTATTCCCTGTTGTTGCTCTACCGAAAAGTATTATTTCCTGTGGTGAGAATCAATAATCATGTTATTTTTGGCATTATATTTTGTGAGACATAGATTTTTTGGAGTTTTAAACAATAATCTACTATTCAGTAATACTTTTTCATCATATTTAGTGTATGAATTGTCATAGAATTATATTTAAATATTAGTTTTATCGTCAGGAAGAACACTTAAATAGGAAGCAAATCTATTTTAAGCTAGCTGTTGCTTAAAATCTATCTAACATCTAGACTTTCAACCAAAAACATCAAAAATTACACGACACAAAATCGTATTAAAAAAAAACTTGTCTATGAGCTATTACATTACATAACCGGTTTCAATTTCCAATATTCTAGCTCGATACAATTCAAAAATCCATCTAAACTCTCCTTAGAAAGAATCATCAACTTCAAATGAAACTATTATTTTTCGGATATATTACGCGTCGAAAAATAAAATCGCGTAGACCGTAGTATATCCAGAGACGAAACTTCTCATCATTCCATTTATTCATATGCGTGTGTCGGTTCCATCGTTGTAGAGAGGAGCTTCAACAGTGACTGGGACTTGCGACCCAGGTGTAGGTTTAATATATATAGAGAGACGAAACCTCTCATCATTCAATGTATTCACGGTGCGTGTGTCGGGTCCATCGTTGTAGTGAGAGGAGCTTCAACAGTGACTGGGACTTGTGACCCAGGTGTAGGTTTAAGACCTTATCTAACGCGTTATACGCTCACCACTGTCCAAGCTCCTCTCTACCTAAAAATATTTGAAATATTAGTTTCATTTAAATGAATGAGACTCATGAATATTTTAGATTTAATCATCATCATCATCATCTTTCTTCCAGGTATTTACGGTATACCTTTAGTGGTGTCTGTGTTCTCTCTCCAGCTGTACACAGCTGTACTGCTGGGTAGGAGCTGGCTTCTGGCTCACGAGATATCAGCTGACATGAGAGAGAAGAGCAGGTAGCGTAGAATATATAGAAACACTAGCTTTCTGCCCGCAGCTTCGCCCGAGTGGAGTTCGGTTATATCGCATTTGCAAGAGAACCTTTCAAAAGTCTGGCATAAAAACTATCCTATGTTCTTTCTAAAAATCAACTCTATATCTGTACCAAATTTCATTAAAATCAGTTCAGTGGTTCAGGCGTGAAAGCGTAACAGACAGATAGTTACTTTCGCGTTTATAATATTAGTAAGGATTTCATTTAAGAAGATTAATTCTTTTAGATCTGCGTATTGATCTAGATTGCTTTAAAGTTTTTAACAATAAACATTATGTTGTAATAAAATGAATTTAGTTAATAGTGTTGGTTTATTTGTAAATTATGTTAAAACATACAGGTTTCCCTACGCAGCGGTGGCTGAGTTGGCCTTCGGAAGAAAAGCTCGAAGTCTCGTGACATTCCTCATAGATGCTACTGTATTCGGGGCTGGAGTACCCAACTTTATTTTTGGTAATAATTTTCTTATTTTCGAAATATATTAATCATTTTGTGACTTCTTCTTCTACCTGGCAGTTTCCCAGCTTTAGCCAGAGTCTGCCTTACATGTTGTGAATAGTTTTGGCTAATTGTTTTTACGACCGGCCGCCTGCCTGACATCAACCCTCTTTGGGAATGCATTAATCAGTGATGTCTAAATACTCTAAGAAAGTACATATGACTCAGAAAAATCACATTGGCACTAAATTATTAAGTATTTTGTGAATTTACTTAAAATCTTTCTTGAATAACCCCATTTTTGAAGTAACTATTCTGATATACACTCGTATATCAGTAGAATTTAAAATAGAAGAATGTTTTAGATTTTAAGTTTTGGAAAAATTTACATTTTTGAACATATTGACCTTGAAGTTTTTTGTCAAAAAATGATATAAGAACTTGTTTCGAGAATTTTGATTTTCGAAAATCAAGATAGTTGTCATTTGAATAATTGGTCTATTAATTAGAAAAAATAGCTATTACAACCGACTCTATTAGAAAAAGAATATTTATATTTTAATCAAAATTATCTTACTGTTAGTAAATGACATGAAAAATAGGATTCAAATATGTATTATCAATTAACAAGTTTTAGCATTTCTTGCTTGAGTAGTTGTTTGAAATATGGCCTTCACTTATTCTGCCCGTGTCATTTTACCATTAATTTATGTGAAAAAAATAATTTATAGTTTGGCGCCAAAAATCAACTAACTGACATTGACATTTAAATGTTTATATTTAGAACTGTATATTAGCATTCAATTGTTTTTATTTTTTTTACAATCGAAATCCGCTATATTTAAAAAAATCTAAAGATAACATTATTATTGCATCTAATTATCAAAAAACAACCAAATTTTAACAATAAGTCTTGATCAACACGCGTAGCAAGGATTACTCATTCAATTAGTGACTTTAATACTATTATGACTTAAGATTGATAATTGAAAAACTGTTAATGCTCCGTATGTGGTGACGAGAAATATTTTAGGTAAGGCTACTTTATAATGTACCTATTACCGTTCTGCATTTGATTTAACAGTGACTCTTAATAAATCTTTACAATTCAGTACGAATCTTTATATATGCTATCTTTTTCATATTATAAATTCAACTACTGAGGATTCATTTAATTACAGAAAAAAATATTTTTTTGAGATATTACTTCCATACGTGTTTTATTTAATTAGTATTTGTCATTACACACCAACAAATGGTTTCGTTTACTTTAGCGTCAATGGTACAATGTACTATTATAAAATAAAAACAAAAGAAGAATGGGAATGAAGAATACGTTATATAGGCCTTTAAGAAAGTTGTTATATTATAAATTTAAGGTTTAAAACTAAACTCTTGTATTATAATATCAAAAATATGGTTTAAAATATATCCTATATAGATGGCTCCTACGTATAAGGGCCAATGTGCAAAATGACAATTGTTCAGTAGAGGCGTTTAAGTTTGATTTCAATGTATCTTGTACTTACAACTGATGCTTTTGAAACTTTGCATAGCAACTATGACATACATGTACGTCAATTAAGTTTGATAAACTTTTTTTGTGATTGTACTAGTTTTTTAAATTATGTATTTACGTTAAAAATCTCTGTACTAGAAGGTAGAGAGAGGAGCTTGGACAGTGGAGGTGAGCGTTTAACGCGTTAGATAGGGTCTTAAACCTACACCTGGGTCGCAAGTCTCAGTCACTGTTGAAGCTCCTCTCACTACAACGATGGACCCGACACACGCACCGTGAATACATTGAATGATGAGAGGTTTCGTCTTTCTATTAACATGAAGTTTATGTTCATTTGAATAGCGTCGCAGAGTATGCAGTTGTTTTGGTGGAAGACTACCGGGGGCTCCGTGAATGTGTCCTACTGTGTCTGGATGATAGTGATAGGGCTCCTGTTGTGTCCCGTCATGTGGCTCGGCTCTCCGAAAGACATGAAGTCAGTATTGATATCAGTTTTATAGGAATTATTTTTATTTCATACCTAGAGATTCTTTGGTTGTAATTATAAGTAATTCAATAGATATATAGATATAAAAAATAACTCAAATAAGTGGAACTAATATTTGTACGCGTATTTTATTATATGTATTAAATTAAAGACTACATAGTTCCGACGTTGAGATTACTTTGTCAGCACCCGTGAATCGTGATCACGTGCAGACGAGATGTGAATGTCTGTCAGTTGGTCTTGTTATTTTAACAAAATACCTAATAATACAATAAAATAAAAAACGCGTAGTAATCCGAAAATGTTGGTTTCATTCAAATGAATACTTGCGAAAGTCTTATCTCAGTATTAAACCAAATATTTTTCATTTAACCATCTCTTAATCAGAGGAATTATATTTGGTAAATATCATATTTTATAATAGAACAAAGCAATATTCTAAAAAAATATTCAATATGAAAAATATAGTAAAAAAAATTCGTCGACACAATATAGATTTGAACAGACTTGTATAAAATTGCGTTCCAAATACTTCGCCAATTATACTATTGAGGCCTTACTGAAGTTAACGACTATATATATACTCATTTAAAAAGACCAAATTTAAGATGATTATTATCAAGAGAACATTTCTGCAATGAAAATTTTATATATGGATATTATATATATGCTTAAAGAGCATAAGATTGATATATATTATTTTTTTGCTGATAACTATGGGCATGTAATATTCTTAGGGCGATAGCGGTAACATCAGTGTGTATAGTGACCACAGTCGCTGTTAGCACGTGGATAGGTATATACATGGATGACAGCTCTCCACCGGCGAGTGGGGACGTGCTGGAGTACGTGCCTAGCATCAGGGACTTCCTGGTCGCGTATGGGATCATAGCATTCCAGGTATTGTTTATTAAAAGAACCTTAACTTATAGGTTTTTTTTTGCCGTGATACTTAAAATCATTGTCAGTGAAAGAGAAATTTTACTTAAATAAGAGTTTTTTTCCATTTTAATAAATGCTCAGTGAAAAGATTTTTTTCACTCCATAAATAATAGAAATTACTGTCAATTAGACCAATAATCTTGGAATCCTTTTTAACATTCCAGAATTTCTGGTCCCCAGAATTGATAATACTAAAAAGATAGTATATGATAATGTTTTGCTTGAAAACTAAAAAAAACTTCTGAATCAAGACTAGTTTTGAAGATTTTGTCTTTGTAAATGTATAATATTATCTCCCGGCTTCGCTTACAGATACGAAATAATTCCAAAACCATTATTTGGAGAATTTGATATGTGGTTATGATAACCGATATTATGGTTCAATATATTTTTACAAGAAAATTCATAGCTATAAATTTGCCTCTCCCTTGGTGGGCCCTACAGGCCTATTGGGGGGGGGGGGGGGGGTTAGAGATACATAAAAGAATAAAGGAATTGTGTCAGGACTGGGAGGTGATTTGTTATTTTATATAGTTAAGATAAGTCATAAGGGTTTTTAAGTACATAGTTGAAAAAATGGGTCAATAAAAAATAATCTATTCCCAAAGTGAGCAGAGACAAAATAAGTTTTGGATCCCCAAATATGCTCGTAAATGTATGTATGTGTGATGGGATCTATCTGTTTCTTAGTTCGACATCCATCCAATGCTATTAACTCTTCAAGTGGACATGAAGGACAGTCGTAAGATCAACACCGCGGTCCTTGGAGCGTTCACGGTCACGGGACTTATGTTCATGATCACGACACTGCTCGCCGCTACAAGATACGGAAACAACGTGGAGAATAATATACTACAAGGTAACTATGATGTCTTCTACCTGACAATTACCCAGCTTTAGCCAGGGTCTGCCTTGCATGTTGTGAATAGATTTGGGTATTTGTTTTTACGACCGGCATCTTGAAATCAACAATCTTTGGGAATGCATTAATCAGTGATGTCTAAATACTTTTGGAAAGTACATATGATTTGAAAAATGACATTGATACTTGCCAGCATCGAACCCGTGTCCTCATGAGAGGCGGGCCTTTTAACCACTAGGCCTAACTTTGTGTGTGACATGTATAGGATGTATAATGAATATCTGTTATCTCCCGGCATGAAAGGTTTGTCCTAAAGATGTCCTCTTTATAACCGACAACACACAAACATATCCCCACTATACAAAATTACCACTCTAACACACATCGCCTTTGTCGGAAAAGACGAGGTCTCGTTTCGATTATTGTTCAAATCTTCTCCATGTGAGAAGAAGGCTCTAATTTTTTTTATTATTATTTATTACAATTATGTTGGTATTTTTTACATTTATATCTAAGTTTTCAGTGTCTCATAAACCAATATTGGTTTTTTCCGTACACTGGAAATAGATATATTGATGATGATGAAAGTATATGTGTAGGTATGCCTCCGTCGGTAACTCTGTACGTGGTAGCTCTCCTCGTGACAATGCAGCTGTGTTTTTCAAGCGCCGTTGGCAACTCAGCTCTTTTCCAGCACATAGAAGACCTTTTGAAGATACCGCAAGGTAGATACTACATTATTACTATTGATTTGCATTAATTATTGTCCTATAATACATTTTCATGAGTATACGTTTCAAATTAAAGTATGTTTTTCGGATAACTATACGAATTTATTTTACCCTATGTTTCCGTGGACGAATAAGTCTGTCAGTTAGTTTTCTTATTTAACTGCCAATATTTCTCAATTTTCTGTTCTGCGTGATTCGGAATGTCGAGGAAATGTAAAATACAACCATTAAACAACGTAGAATATATGATACTAGCTTTCCGCCCGCAGCTTCGCCGCGTGGAGTTCGGTTATATCGCGTTTCCAAGAGAACCTTTCAAAAGTCTGGGATAAAAACTATCCTATGTTCTTTCTCAAGGTCAACTCTATCTCTGTACCGAATTTCATTAAAATCAGTTCAGTGGTTTAGGCGTGAAAGCGTAGCAGACAGACAGACAGACAGACAGACAGAGTTACTTTCGCATTTATAATATTAGTAGGGATAATATTAGTAGGGATAAAAATACTAATATTGATTATATTATAATATTTATATTATATTTCCAGAGTTCTGCTGGAAACGCTGTCTACTCAGATCTGGTATAGTCGCGTTCGCCATTTTCCTCGGAGAGTCGGTACCAAGATTCGACTTAGTCATGGGTCTGGTGGGCTCTACTCTAACCGGCCCTCTAATGTTTATCTTCCCACCACTCTTCTTCCTGAAACTCTGCTACATGAAGACCAAAATAAAAAAAATCGACATGATCGTTGCAAAAAAAATGGGACATTTGAGTCCTAGACGCGAACAAAATGGTGACCTGTCAGATTACCCGCTAATAATGCACAGAGTACAGACTAAATACAAAACATTTGGCGGGAAAAATGAGGAGGGGACTTCTGATATAGATTTGGACGAATATGACGTTAAATGGTACGACGTGTTGTTGGCTGTTGTGGTCATGAGTATGGGAATTTTCGCCACAATGGCTGCCACATATTCTAGCTGGACGGACGCCATATCTAGCGCCACATTCACACAACCCTGCCTCCTGAACTCAACCGCAGCCGCCCGAAGCTTTATAGAATCCACATATCATATAAACTCATAATTAAGTCTGATATTTAAATAAAACTAATTTAAAAACAAAATTTATTTAATTCGCAAAAAAATACACATGTCAGTATATTTACAATAAATAACTAGGAACTCGCATATAAGATATTATAAGCTAAAAGGCAATTACACCTTAGCACCATAACCGAGTTACAATTATAATATATATTTAAAAAACTAACAAAAATATATATCTATAACAATAATGCAGAAAAAAATCAGTCTAATTGTGTTTATTACAAATTAATGTTCTTTGATGCTTCAGTCATTGATAGGCCCTAGAGACTTTGTTAATAATTAAATATTACGTTCATATGTTGTATATTCTATGGTGGTATTAAAAACATATTTTTGACTCGACTTTTACTGCTTAAATATCAACTTTTCACCAAACTTCTGTCGAATAACTTTCTTGTCAAGTTTTCCCATAGCATTCCTCGGCATTTGATCCACTATAAACATAGTTTTTGGCAGTTGATACGGAGCTAATCTCTTGCCAGCTTCATCTTTCAACTCTCTTAGAGTCAAACTCTTTCCTTCTTTAAGAGCGACTACTGCTGAAACAATTTCTCCATAATGTTGGTCGGCTATACCCAATACTGCTACATCTGATATGTTTGGATGTTCTAGAAGCGCGGATTCCACTTGTAGGGCGCTGACTTTGTATCCTCCGGTCTTTATAATGTCTACAGATGTCCGACCCATGATTTTAAAGGTGCCCTGGGAGTAGGAAGCCATATCACCAGTACGAAACCAGCCGTCTGAGGTGAAATCTGATGATAAGGCGCTTGGAGCGCGATTCCAATACCTGGAAATACAAAATTAACACTATATATGTATATGTCATGTTTAGACTTAGAAATATTACCAAAAAAATTGTAAAACAAAGCTTTTGCTCGCTGGTTTCAGTGGATTTTTTCTGAATAACTATTGCAAATTTCGCTTTCCCAGATATGTTATTACTATTGCCTGCTATAATATGACGAAAATTTCGTATAAAATATCTTTCTGAAGGAATTAAATAAATGGTTATAGTATGAAATAATTAATGTTATTGCATGTCCATTAATATTTGATAAACATATATGTATAATAAACAATCACTTCTAACTTTGGTCTTAGTAGCATTTTTGAAATTCACTATAAAACATAATCCAATACAAATAGCCCAATAGTTAAATAAATACAATATTTCATACAAATTTATATTAAATTACCTAGTGAACACAGCCGGACCCTTCAATAATAACTCCCCTTCACATACATCATTGTCTGTCAGTTTTGTTTCATTAGTCTTCCAGTCACTATCAAATTCCTTGTTGGATGAACTCCTTGCTAGACCGAGCTTGTCAAGAGATATCTGAATTACATTAAATATTATTAATACTAGATTGATAAAAAATTGTAATGAATTAAAACATAAGGGAAGTAATATTCTTTGACACAAGCAAAATTGAAACTAGGTTCCTCTGTATACATGTAGTCAATTATAGATGTATTATGTAGTCAATTAAGGCTTTTGCGATCTGACACAAATTGGAGCATTAAACCAGTGTATTAAAAGTGTCTGATTGTCATATAGAAGCCAAAGTAATATAGTTATTAATTTTCCATTATCAGCTATTTTCTACTTTTAGTATTATAATAACAGACTTATACAGGGTGACTGGTGAATTACTATCGATACTTGAGGACGTGATATTTGACGATCATATATGACAAAATAAAAATTAATATAACATAAATATTAATAAACTTCTAAGTAAAGTTAACCAAAAGTTATGTAATTAATTACACATCGTGTGAACACCCTACAGATTAGGTATACACACACACTCACACATATGCGCGCGGCGGCGTAGTGTTGTATCAGCACGCTGCCGCACGCGTCCACACTTGGAACATTTGGAACATGTCAACACTTTATTTATTTATACGGAAATTTTGTCAAAAATTAAGTGCCTATTTTTTACATAATTCGAATGGGAATCATGTACCGAGTATTCTTCTTAAATATTGATAGTAATTCACCAGTCACCCTGTATATATGTATATAAATGACATTATTTTTACTATAAGTTAGACTCATAATTTTACTCTAAATGGCAATAAAAAAAGCAATAGTTATACTTTATTTACCTGTAAATCTGGCATTTCTCCGTTAACATCAACAAGTGTTTCCATCACATTATCTTTGAACTCAGCGATCCTGGCAGACACTCCTGGCAATGGGAGCCCCACACGACCAACCAACCTTCCTTCAAGAGGCCTGTAAGGATTACTTAAGGCCATACCGACTTCTGACATGCCATAGCGTTCCAATAGCTTTAGTCCGGATATCTGGAATAGAAGGAATTTGCGATTAAATCCCTACTAATATTATAAATACGAAAGTAACTCTGTTTGTCTGTTACGCACACACCTAAACCACTGAACTGATTTTAATGAAATTTGGTACAGTGACGGAGTTGACCTTCAGAAAGAACATAGGATAGGTTTTTATACCAGACTTTTGAAAGGTTAGACTTAGGAAAAGCTAGTTATATATATGTATATAGGACAAAATGACAAGTTTTTTTTTCTAAATGCTCTTAAACAAACACAACAATATATTATATGTAGATGGCAATAAAAAAAAATATTTTAATGAAACTTATGTTAAATTACTTTTTGCCCGACACTTCGTCGTTTATTTCGGAGTTAGTAATATATGTATAGATGACCGAGCGAACTCTATTCCGCACTAGAGGCCTTAAATAACCAAATATTGGAGTTTATTAAGTTTTTTTTTTACATCAAACAGAGTTTAATACCCTATGTCCGTCTCCTGGTTCTTAGCTATCTCTCCACCAATATTCAACCATATATAGCCTTTCTTGAGTTATATATAGTCTAACTAACACTTTGCATGGTTAAGAAGAATTTTTTAACAAGTTTATCTAACTCACCTCTTCCCACTTCTTAAACAAACTCTCCGGCAAAGGTGCAGAGCCAGCACACATCAATCTCATCCTCGAAGACAGTGTAGTCTTGACATACGCCGCTGTCTTACTGTCACTGAACATTTTGTCATAGTCAGCGGCTAATTTACTGTACATAGATGGCACTCCGTGGAATACTGACACCTTGGCCTTGTCGGAATCCAATAGTTTAGCCCAGACGGTGTGAGAAGTGAATTTAGGCAGCATACGGATCCTGAAGAAATTTGTTATGGTTAATATAGAACATATATATAGTCATTGGTGTCCTAGTGGTTAAAAGCCCCTACTCTCATGTACGAGGGCGCGGGTTCGATCCTGGCCCGGGCAAGAACCAATGTGATTTTTCCGAGTCATATGTACTTTCTAAGAGTATTTAGACATCACTGATTAATGCATTCCCAAAGAGGGTTGATGTCAGGCAGGCGGCCGGTCGTAAAAACAAATAGCGAAAACTTATTCACAACATGTAAAGCAGACTCTGCCTAAAGCTGGGAATTTGCCAGGTAGGAGGAGATAGAGCATATATAAATAAATAAACGCTAAATCCATGATAGCTCAGTTAGCAAGACTCCTGTAATCCGATAGTCAAGAGATTGGAGGTTCAAATCTTATTTGTGTCAATGAATTTTCAACTGTATTTAAATTTTTATCCGATTATTAAATCAACATTAAGACTTTGTGATAAATAATATTATTATATACATTAGAACGGTTTAGGAAAAAAATATTATGTGAGTGTTAGTGACTTCCTTAATCTAGCATACATTTTTTTGATTTTAATTATTTTGGAGAATACTTATAACAAAATTGTTATATGTGATGTGTATAAAAACAATTTTCTAGTCCTTTTAATTAATATTTGTCTATATAACAGCTTTACTAATACAATATAGATATATATATAATTACTTAGACATTTGTAACAAAAAAAATACATAATTAATAAACCTTCAAAAAACAACAATTTCCATAAAAAGGTATAGGTAGTACATACAAACAATTAATTAATCTACAAAAACACATATAGCTAGTGTTTACAACCTTGCTCCGGCCGCCATAGTGGCATTCAATGAGTTCAGTTGTCCGTGTATGTGATGCAGCGGCAGTGTATGCAGCACTACATCATGGGCAGAGTACTTCCATGCAGCATGAAGTGCTGCTATCTGGATAGACAGCATTCTGTGAGTCCATACTACACCTTTGGGCTTGCTCGTTGTACCTATAACAAAATTGGATGATTATGATGCATTTTGGACATTTATTTTTCTTATACTTCTTTGCTTTATAGGTACATATAAGTACTGTATGTAGAAATAATTAGTTTAGTGGAATATAGTTTGTGTAGAGGAATTGCTCCCTTCCTACCATGCATGAAATTCATTTAAATAGAAACTTAATAGAAAATTCGTATTTCTAATACAAGACCATAATTTTTCAATATATTACAATTTAATATGCATTTATTACTGAGATTTTCCCGCGACTTCGTCGGTATTTTCTTTCGAGATTGGGAAAATTAAGTGGCATTTAAATAATAGACATTTAAACTTTGTAGTGACATCTACCATCAGTGTTATGTGATTATCCTAAATACAATTATTAAAAAGTGTTCCTTAGAAATTTTGATAAATTTCGGGATAAATTATACCTTATGTCTGATGTACATTACTTAAAACTTTCTGTCAATAACGTATAAACTCTCCCATTCTGAAATTTTGTAGGATTACCCAGAATTTTGCATATTCACAAAATCCATCACAACTCTATATTTAAATCTTAGCATTCTTTTAATATTTCAGTTAACCAATTTTCTCATACATTAATCTATAAAATACTGGTTATCTATATATGCATATAAAGTCGTGTTAGTTACACTGTTAATTATAGCCCAAGAAAGTCTGTAAGGATATGGTTGACAACTGGTGGGAAGATAGCTTAGAAAAATTAAAATATTTAATTTTGTGCGATCGAAAAAACCTTCAGAAATTCCAATATCTGGATATATACGTCCTCTGGGGCGGAACAGAATTCGCCCGGTCAGCTATACATATATTACTATTACCGAAATTACCACAGACGAAGTCGTGAGCAAAAACTAGTAGAGTATAATATATTTAAAGACCAAAGACGCTATATACTCACCACTTGTATATATAAGCATGGCTTCATTATCACCATACCATTTGTTCGTTAGATCTATATCCTGCAACACAGTCTTTTTCTCTAAAGAGTTTTCCGATCGGTTTGATATTAAGAGAGGTTTCGACAATTCCTTGGCTATCGGGTTCAAAATTTTCTCAAAATCATTCGAACATATGATCAGTTTAGAATCACTGTCCGTTATGAAGTACTTCAACATCTCCTCGGGGTGAAGCGGAGTTAGAGGTACGGCTGAAATTATATAAAACCTCATTTAATAAAAAAAAGTTATATATATAAAACCTTTTTTAAAATAAAGATTCTAACTGGCCAATATATATTTTTTATATATTTAATTTTTATAAATAGAATAGGATTGTCAACAGATGTATGATGATAATCATTGCAATGGAATTAATAACAATACTATTTTGTGAGAACTTTAAGAGTTTTCATATCTTTTACTGATAATACTATGGAAGTTATACAATGTAGATCAAATTAATGTAAAATTTTGTTTCAACATAGAATCTTACTGATACCAACCAACATAAAGAAAATTACAGAATGATTTTATTTAAATTTAATATTCAATATCTTTAATTTACTATCTCTTTCACATAATAAAGTCAAAAGATTATATTAAGTATGGATGATAAATTTCATCTCTTGCATTCAAATATTTCAATCAAGTGAAGACCTCGACTAAAGCTCCTGTAAACATATGCACCAGGAAGGCATTGTTCAAGAGGAATGGCATTGAATTGTAAAGCGAGCCACCACTGCTCAAACAAATGACCACAAGCACTCTGTCAAGTGATACCGACGGAGAAAATTCAAATACTTACCAATATTCCCCGTCATCCATATTGCCCACTGTACAATAACGTGCGTAGCATCATTGTTGCACATATAACATATAGTACGTTCAGTTTCACCCACTGAAAATAAAATGTTGATATCTTATTATTTAGCCGACACCATGATTAACATTTAAATTTTTTTCTATATTTAAATAATTCTATTAAAGAGAAATAGCCTAGATTACTTTTTATTCTCTCAGTTAACTGCTAGTAAAGCTTTTAGTATAGTTAGTTTAGATGTTGCATAGATAAGCCTTACAAATGGACAAATATACATGTATATACATATATTGTATGAGTTTACTATGAAGCAGTTATTTTAATTACAATCAGAAACTCAAATTTTATTTATTAGTATATTTAAAGAATGCAAGAGAGATAAGAGTTCAAGCTGCTAATGTATTCAGATAGTGTTAGAAAAACTTCTTAGTTTCTCTTTCAATATATAGAAAAATTATTTCTTATTTTATACTGATATAATTCAAAAGATTTCACTCATTATAGCAAATTAAAATTAAGAGAATATAAAGGTATTACATCTACATATAAGTTTACTTAAACAAAATTATTCATAATTTACAGAGTGATTTAAGTTGTATATTTTAAAATGTAAATAACATTCATTTTTATTGGAAATTTATTCGATCAGTAACCTTTTTATGGACAGAATATTAGGAATAGATAAGGGCCATAAAATACTTACATAATAGTGCTGCAATATCTTTGCTGAGTGCTGTTGCTGCATCATATAAATCAGCATATGTATAAGTTGCGAAGTCGTCTTGTAATGCTACTCTGGTTGGAAACAGCAGAGCTCGTCTGAAAACTGGAACTACACCCCCTGGAAAGGCAAATTATAATTTTATCTATTACTCATATAAGATAGTGATAAAAAATATATATTTAAATATTTATAAGTAAAGAAATAATCTTGTTTTTAACAGATATATTATTGTTTTTCTTTTTTTACTTTCTTCATTTTTTATTTACGTTATCATATACGATTCAACTATCAGTATCTTACCGTTTTTTATATCCTGATTGAAGGAATTCAATAATTCAGCATTTATTTCTTCTTTCACAGCGGTGTTAGAAATAGCTCTAGAAAATGACAACGGTTTGCGAAAAAGCCGGTTCAAAAGACGTACGGAACGCATAGAGATCTCCATTATACTATCTAGTCACTTAGTGGTAATGATCTTACAAAAACAATTGTAATTCACAAGTCACAACGCTAGTACGCAGCAAAGAAATGATTCTTAAATTTATTTTTAGGAAAAACAGACGTGAGAAGATAAGAAAAAAATGAAACTTGAAAGTGATAAGATTTTTTTGTAATAAAGTTTAATAATGAACAAAGTTCAAAGTTCAATATAAAACACAAAATATTTATATAATTTTCTAATATTCAACTGTTATTTTAATAGAATATTTCAAAAATATTATTTGATTAATATTGCTGGAAGATTCAGCACTATAGGATGAATTAAGAAGAATTCAAACTTCTAAACTAACAGTTAAATGTCACTTTCAATTTTTATAAATGCCTGTTTAGCTATTTCCACTGACATAACTTATTTGTTGTTTGCAGTACAAACTTAAACAAGCGCGTACAAAGAGACACACAGCGTCAGTTATATCCATATAAATAATTATGCTGTGATATTTTAAAATATTAACAATGGTGGTTAACGCACCAGATACTCCTATACAGGCTGAAGTGATATTTGTAATAGAAGCAACGTCGGTGAACAGCGCTTTTATAAATGAACTGAAAACAAACTACATAATACCCACACTCGAGTAAGTTTATATTCGTAAAAAAAATTTACATCCACATAAAACTAATATTTTAAGATTACTACGCTAGATTCTAGTCTACCCGTGACCTAAATTGCTGCAAAGTAATTATATATCGGTAGTAATTAGTTTTTATATTAAAAAAATACCACGCATTATTTCGTTCGAAAATATTAGTTTTATTTCAATAAATACTCACGAAAGTCTTAGATCTCATTTTAATTACGTATACAATTATGATATTGGCTATATATATTTAGAAAAAAGATCGTAATGCATTTTGATGCGTACATTTTTTTCTTAGATATTTTCATGGTGGTGCTTTAGAGGAGGGTGTTGGTAGTGGTTCGGTGTACGGGGTAGTGGCCTACCAAGCTGCTGATTGTCACCCCGGTTCGCCTGTCTCAACGTTTGGTCCATTTACTTCACCAGACACAGTTTTAGAGACAGTCGACAATATCGAGTAAGTAAATACAACCTTTGATACATAGATAAAATGCAGTTGATCAATACATTAAGCTAATGATGTTAATAAAAGAAGTTTAAACAAGTTTAAACCAATTTGTTTCACATTATATACATATATATTTTTTTGTATGGGTTTGTAATTTAATGAGGTTTTATGTAAAAATACTTTAGAAATTGCACTGATAAAAATTATATTAATTAAGAGATCGTTTTTTTAGTAGTAGGTAATGATTTTAGATTACTTCTGTATTTAAGGAAAATTTTGAGATAATTATGTGGTATTTCTTGATCAAAACTGGTATCACTAAATTCTATAGCATGGTTTGAGCATCATGATAGAATTTAACTTCTTTCCATCATTAATAGGTTTGAGTTCTTACAAAGGCTGCTACAATTTTTTACTAGATAGTACATTATACACTTAATCTTCTATGAAGACAATATTTCTCCAAGATTTTCCGTAGTAATAAAACATAATTAAAATTCAACTTTTGTTTTTGAACATTTCTATTATAAGAGTAGAATATTCTAGATAAATTGTTTTACAAATAATATTGATTATTCCATTATTTACCAGGTTCATAGGTGGTCATGCGGAGAGTCGAGCTTGTGTGACCGAAGCCCTAACTACGGCGCTATCATGTCTCGAAGAATTAGGTCGTACAGATATACCGATGCATGTGGTGCTATTGTGTTGCTCACCACCTTACTCCGCCTATAATGGTGGTCTTGTTCCAGCCGGTAAGTGTAAATTATATAGTAACTATAAATAACTGCGGATTTCCGGGATGTAAAGTAGCCTATATGTTATTCCTGGACATCAGCTTCCCGTATACAAAATTTTATCAAAATCGGTTCAGCCGTTTGAGCGTGAAGAAGTAACAAACATACACACATACTCACAAACTCGCAATTATAATATTAGTAGGATTATATATTATAATTTTAGGTTCAGAAGAATAGATAACTAAAAAAATACTAAATACATCAAAATCATTTAATATCAAATATAAATTATATTTATTTAATTTACAATTAGAATCATATTAATTCATAATATAATTATTATATTGTATCATCGAGCTTTAATAACATTATGTGTGTATTATATTATATGTACAACTTACCTTTACTGGTATGGCTCCATTGTATACCTAAGTCATGTTGTTCCATCAGCTTTTCGTTTGTTGGGGGGAAAAAAACTGCTGTTAATAACGAAACTTTGGTATCTCGATTTAAATGGTTGGGTAGTCTACATATAAATATAAATTTGATGCATTATTTATTTATGCATATTTACATTATATAACTTAACATACACAATTTTTTTTATTGTTTTTTTTATATTTTTATTTATTTATTTATTATATAATTCAACTGTCACAATAACACTTAATATTTATAAACTTGTTCACCGCCACATCAATCAGGTCCAAAGGGTACCATTGAAAATCAGCATAAGGTGTGTTAACACCTTTTACGCTGAATGGTATACCATTTTGAGACATGCCTTATGTATTTTAATGTTTATTTTTTTTTTTTGTTTTGATTTCTTTTTTTTTTATCCTAAGTTTTAATTTTTTTTCGTGTTTTGCTGTAGGTATATTATAGTAAATTAGTCATAAGTTTTATTTTATTCTTTATTCCTATGTTAATTTTTTTAATTTGTAATTGTTCTTTGTTTTTTTTATATATATACCTAACTATATAACTATACGTGTCTCAAATAAAAACTTTCTTTCTTGCTTTCTTTCTTTCTTTCTATACATATGAACAACTATATAGGAATAGTGACTTCAAGCAGATTTTTGATTCTTCCCACATAGTTCCCGTTCTTGCGGGGTTTTCGGAATGGTCAAGTTCCCGTAAAATTTTCAGGATAAAACCTATGTTTTTTTTTATTCACAATGAAGTACTCTTAACCAACAACATATTTAATTGTTTATTTGAATAAAGATTAATATTAGGTACCATAAAAACTGTTTTTTTGAGTTAATCTTAAAAGATAGACATATACTGTCCCGGACTGTTTTTTAGATCATTAAAAGAGCTATTATTATTTAATACATATTTTTTGTGTATCTTGAACCGTTTTCACGGCGCACGCAACGGAAGGCTTCAAAGATGAAATAATTTCTCCCGTTTTTTACACATTTACCACTATATCTTTACTCCTATTGGTCGTAGCGTGATGTTATATAGCTCACAGCCTTCCTCGATAACTGGTCTATCCAACACAAAAAGAATTATTCAATTCGAAGCAGTAGTTTCGGAGATTAGCGCTTTCAAACAAACAAACAAACTCTTCAGCTTTATAATATTAGTATAGATTTAATAATTCTTATATATAATTGAAATAACTAAAGAGGTAGGTTTATTAATGATAATAATACACAATGATTATTGATACCTCATAGAATCTAACAATGTGATTATAAAATGGCTCATGCTACCGAATGTATAGAGCTCTGACTTATTTAAAGTAATTTAAAGTATATTTTAAATTATAAGAAATAAAACTAATACATTACGTAAAATTAGTATTTAATATAGAAAAATGTATCTAAATTAGGCGTTATATTTTAAACAACTACTAATTATTACATTTTTTTTACAAGTGCGATATCGAACTGTATATTCATTTTTTTGTTGTAAGTGTAATTCTCATGTAAGTTATAATAGTTTTTTAATGGGAATAAAAATATATTAAGGTGCTCCAGCGACAATTGAGCAAGCGGGTAGATTGATAGCCGAGCGTGGTGTTCAACTGTCTATAGCGGCTGCTAAACGCTTGCCAGCTATGCTAGCGCTGTACGAGCACGCTGGAGGCGAACTACATACAGCTCAACAGAGGAATTATGCTAAGGTGACTAGAAATACATAATAATAATAATATATAATAATAATCTTTATTCACAAAAAAGTGCAAAGTATAATGAAGTCCCTGATTTCTAAGCTAGGCTCAAAGACCTGTATTACAGAAATCAGTGTCCTCTCTCATATTTTAGTGTCGTATCTTTCTATGTAAATAAAAATAAATGATAAATAATTATTTCTTACTGTATACTAGAGTAGAGTGTGTGTGTGTGTGTGTATGTGTGTGTGAATCTTATACAGGGTGACTGGTGAATTACTATCAATATTTAAGGAGCATACTCGGTACATGATTCTCATTCGAATTATGTAAAAAAATAGGTACTTAATTTTTAACCAAATTTCCGTATAAATAAATAAAGTGTGTACACGTTCCAAGTGTGGACGCGTGCGGCGGCGTGCTGTTGTATCAGCACGCCGCCGCACGCGTATGTGTGTGTGTATACCTAATCTGTAGCGTGTTCACACGATGCGTAATTAATTACATAACTTTTGGTTAACTTTACTTAGAAGTTTATTAATATTTATGTTATATTAATTTTTATTTTGTCATATATGATCGTCAAATATCACGTCCTCAAATATCGATAGTAATTCACCAGTCACCCTGTATATAAAATTCTCGTGTCACAATGTTCGTTTCGGAACTCATCTGAAATTGTTTGACCGATTCTCATGATATATGAGCATATTGATTAAGTCTAAGAATCAGCTAACATCTATTTTTTATAACCCTAAGTGATAAGGGTTGTTCACACTTAAAATATTTTTGGTTTTTATTTTTTTATATTGTAGCATTAAAATACATACAACCCAAAATTTTTACTCCTAGTTTTTTATATGGGAAAACAACGTTTGCCGGGTCAGCTATTTTGTATATAAAATGACCAATTTTTTTTCAGGATCCTCGTCATTTGGTGCTACTCCGAGGCTACAGTCTTAAAGAGCGTCCGCCGAGCCCCGCCCCGCCACCGGCACCCGACATACAGACGGATGTATACGGGTATAAACCTACTAATATTATAAATGCGATAGAACCTCTTGTATGTTACGCTTTTACGACTAAACCAATGAACTGAGTTTAATAAAATTTGGTACAGACATAGAGTTGACCTCAGAAAGAACATAGGATAGTTTTTATCACAGACTTTTGAAAGGTTCTCTTGGAAACGCGATATAACCGAACTCCACGCGGGCGAAGCTGCGGGTGGAAAGCTAGTAGCTTTATATATGGTCCTAACATAATATGTATTAGGAAAACAGCGATATTAACACAGTCCTTGCATACATTCTATACTTGCCTTTTATGCCTTGTGTACAATAAAGTAGTGTCGTGGTGGCCTAGAAGTTAAAGACCCGCCTATCATTCATGAGGGCGCGGGTTCGAAAACAGGCTAATAAAAATTAAATTTTCCGATTCTTTCGTACTTTCTAAGAATATTTAGACATCACTGACAGATGAAGGAAACCATAGTGAGGAAACATGGACTTATATCAAATTATAAGTTTGAAATCACCAACCCGTCTTGAGCGAGCATGGTGTTTAATACTTTACCTTCTCCATGTGAGAAGAACAATTTGCTTAGCAGTGGGCTCTGATAGGCTGATGATAATGACAATAAACTGTAATGCAATATATATTATCATGAGTCGCTGTCTCACCCTACTAATATTATAAATGCGAAAGTAACTCTGTCTGTCTGTTACGCTTTCACGACTAAACCACTGAACTGATTTTAATGAAATTTGGTACAGAGACAGAGTTGACTTCAGAAAGAACATAGGATAGTTTTTATCCCAGACCTTTGAGAGGTTCTCTTGGAAACGCGATATAACCGAACTCCACGCGAAGCTGCGGGTGGAAAGCTAGTTATATATATAGTATGTTTTTCTCTCAGTCAAAGCGCCGTCCGTACATCAGTCCCTCCAGCCCGCGCGTCAGGCCCTCAGTACCGTCCCGGAGGCCCGGCCCGCGGCTGGCTGGCCCCGCCGAGACAGCAGTACGCTAACTCGGCGCTCCTCACACAACTGGCGCAGCCCTCCTGCCCGCCGCCTCCCATACAGGTGATACAGAGTGTTTAATATATATACAGTAATACCCCGCTTTACGCGAGGGATACGTTCCGAAGAAAATCGCGTTAACTGAAATTCGCGTATATCGAGGTTTATGACTAAACACAGTCAAAATTTAATACATAAATATAAAAATCATTTTAATCAATCACTTTAATTCTAAGAACACTATACAAAACATAGGTACTCCTATTTTTTACGAAAAAATACATGTATTGTCTTTTGGGTAGCGTTTTGTTTACGTTCTTGTAACATACGTTCATTACACGCAACACTGTTTTTAATTGTTTGACACACTGACAAGACTCGGTCATCATTATTGTCTATACTCTGCATTATGTCCAAATCTGAATAATTTTTTGAAATTCGCTTTTATGTAATGAAACCGCGCATAACGGGGTCGCGCTAAGCGGGTTATTACTGTGTTGATAGAGTTATAAATATATACAGGGTTTTATAAATATATATTGATAAGGTACATCATGTTCGGATAAGTGTTAGACTCACTTAGAGTGAAGTTTGTTTATATATGGAGGTATATATTCACAGAAAGAGATAATGTTAAATTCATAACATTACCAATAAAATGAGTTCGATCGGTTGTTTTCCTTGAAAACATCTAAACAATAAAAATTATATATATATATATATATATATATATATATATATGTATATAGAGAATAGCTGACTCAGTATCCAAGAACGAATATATACATACTCATAAGTTCTGTAATCGAAAATAAGTTTTTAATTTTTATTATTCAGATGTATAAACAGAAAATCCTTTTGGAACTCTTTTTATAGATTATAACTTACTCAATTGTTCTCAATGAAATATGAAGAACAAATTTGAAATTAATATACTCGTATATAATTTTCATACGAAGTTAATATGTTTTATTATTTTTATTTTTTATTAGATCACCAACAAAGTACACACTAAGAACATTCATGATACATGGATAATAAAATAAAACTAGTGGTATCTTAATTAAAGGTGCACAGCATGCACAAAAAAAATAAAAGTTTAGTGACAACAAGCAGAAAAAAAATAAAAAAAGCTAATTAAATAACAAACAACAATTTAAAATAGAAACAATAACATAAGTAAAACTATCTATCTAAACTTGAGTATAAAATTTTGAGTATATATAAATAATGTTTTTTTAATATGCTATGTATATGTTAATATGATTTCCAGGCGAATATCCAGCGTATGCAGCTGTTGCAGCCGGGTCCGTCGGGTCCGCTACAGAGGACGTACATCTGGAGCGGCGTGCTGGAGTGGATGGAGAAGGGCAAGACACCCGGTGACCAGCAGAAGGTCACCAAGCTGCTGCCCTGCCAGGTACACCTGGAAATACACCGCCATACTGTAGAATAATAATAGCTCCTCTCACTACAACGATGGACCCGACACACGCACCGTGAATACATAGAATGATGAGAGGTTTCGTCTATATATATAATCTCTCTGTAACGGTGTAGTGAGGGTGTTTTCGTCTATATCCATGTTTAATTTCGTCTTTAATCATCCTTTTTATGTGAAAGGTTTGAAACGAACAAACGGCCTACTTGATGTACAATAGTCACAACATAGACATATACAACATAGATGTTGCGGATGCGCTGTCAACCTTAGTTGTTAAGGAAAAGGCATGGGTTTGAATAAGGAAATTGTAGATAAGAATGGAATGTCTCTATTTTGCCAGCTCACATATTATACAACCAAATATTGCCATAACATTCCTTATTAAAATCTATATATACAGGTTTCAGCAAACTCCAAAGACATCGAGCCGGAATTGAAGGTGGATACTTGGCCCAGCAAGCTGTTGATGCAGCTTATGCCGAAGCAGCTGATCAGCAACATCGGCGGGCAGTACCTCAAGGACAGCAAGTCCGTGCTGTTCCATCTGCAGCAGAACGAAGCATTGGACGCCCTTACCAAGGTTATGGTCAACGGTTTTGTGAGTAACTTTATATGGTTATATTATTAGTTATATATAAGAATATAGAATGTATTCGTTTGAATGGAACTAATATTTTCGGGTGCTATTCGTTTGTTATTATAATATACAGGGTGACTGGTGAATTACTATCGATACTTGAGGACGTGATATTTGACGATCATATATGATAAAATAAAAATTAATATAACATAAATATTAATAAACTTCTAAATAAAGTTAACCAAAAGTTATGTAATTAATTACGCATCGTGTGAACACCCTATAGATTAGGTATACACACACACACACGCGTTCGGCGGCATGGTGTTGTATCAGCACGCCGCCGCACGCGTCCACACTTGGAACACTTGGAACGTGTCCACGCTTTATTTATTTATACGGAAATTTGGTCAAAAATTAAGTACCTATTTTTTTTTACATAATTCGAATGAGAATCATGTACCGAGTATTCTCCTTAAATATTGATAGTAATTCACCAGTCACCCTGTATATATGTTTAAAAGTTTTTGTTCCTATACAACAACTATGATTAAGGACAGACAAAACAAAAGTCTCTACTTAAGAAAAAAATGCGTAGTATCCGAATATATTAATTACATTTAAAACACTACTATTAGGTTTTGTATAAAATTTCTACCTTACAAATAATGCGAGCAAAGTATTACCTCGTTGCCATAAAATTAATCTTAAATAAAAAAAAATAATTGATTCAAACAAATATTCCATATATTATTTCGTAATAAAAATATAAATAAATTTGCATATTAGAATTTACTTCACATTAACTCTATTTCTACTAAGACCAAATGTATTTCATATTACTATATACATATATTACTATGTACATTTCTAATACATGTTATGTTTCCAGGCCGGATGCGTACATTTCTCCCCGATGTCCTCGCCGCCTCAATGCGACATCAAAGTATTGATACTCTTGTACACATCCGACAAAAAAGCTTTTCTGGGTTTCATACCGAATAATCAAGCTACTTTCGTTGATAGACTTAGAAAGGTGAAAAAAAATATATAATAATATATTGTGGTTAATTTTACATAAAAAGTCATTAAGAATTAATAATAACAATTAATTGGTATTGAAAATATAAAATAACAGTTATTTTGATACTTTTTAAACAAATATCGTGAGCAAAAAGTTTAATTAACGTTATAAATATACCTATAATAATAATAAATGTTTATTGGTTATATTCTGGTTGTGTTTCAGGTTATCCAACAACAGAAAATGAACAAGCAACTTCCGGTTCCGGTGAGCGCGGCCGCCATGACCGGAAACATGCCCACCGCTACCATGGCTGGTAAGAAAAAAAATCATAGAAAAGAAACTAAAGTCTTAAACCAACCACACAAAAAACCTTGTTACAATATAATTACGTGTATTCCTAATACCGAATATACTTGCCACTGAGCTATTTTCGAAGATATGATAGAAAAGTATCTTTATATAATTACTATAATTATTTGCAAAATTTATCACATTCCGTTGGACTTATTTATCGTAATAGTTAGAACAGTGTGTTTAAATTAAACAACTATTCTCTCTATTCGTAAGCAAAAAATCATCATGACTATAGGATTTTATAAATATATAGTTACCATAAATATTTGGTGTTATTTGTGAAATAAATTTTTTTATTAATCTTTTACATTTTTTTGATGTTTACTATTCAATAATAGGGGCAAATTCATATAACATTATTATGCGGAAGTTAAAAGTATATGAGAGAACAAAAACGCACAGTCTGATTCTTAATTATCTAAGCACGACTTATATACATATATATATATGTATATATATATAACTAATTTTATTTTTCTAACTCTAGGTAATTCCCTCGGCGCCGGCATATCTCCCAACTTATCAATGGGCGGATCCCTCAATGTTAACAACATCAACAATCAACAGGGACAACAACACTCGCAGGTACATATATACATATATATAAATAACTTAATATTATATGTTACATAACTATCATAACATACATGAAATTCCTCTGTCAATATAGAAGAGTATTTAATACAATACCGATCAAATTATTTATGTAAAAGAATCTTTCCTAGTTTTGACAATATTCTGTTTCGATAACAAAGCAGGTTAATATATATAAAATTTATACTTAAGATTATTTCTTGAATCACAATCATAACATAAAATAAAATATCATCTCAATATAAGAAATATATATGTGGCACTCGGACACTGACGTGGTAAAGCCATTGCATAACATTATTAATCAGCTGTTAGGTTTATTTTCGTTACGATATTTCTGAACTCGGTCTCCATCAATAGCTTAATTAGAAGCTATGCAATAGCTTACAAATAAATCATAAAATACACTCCAATTGTTCATTAATAAACTCCTTTGTAATATTTCTAATCATTTATTTATATGACCAGGGTATGATAATGGGAGGTGGTATGACCGGTCAGGTCAGCCAAGTGGGTCAAGTCAGTCAGGTCGGGCAAGTGGGAGGCAAAGGTCCGCGGGGGGTTCCCCTCGACGGGCTTGAGGCCGCCCGACAACAGAACTTGGAGAAGATACAACACTTACAACAGACGTTAGAAGCCGCTCACCAACAGGAGGCGCAGTTTAAATCGCAGATGGACATCATGACGCATCTACAAGCTGCGCAACAACAAGAACAACACTATAAACATCTGGAGGTAGGGATGTAGCTATGTTGCAACAGATAATACATACATGCAATTATCGGATTACGTCAAATTAGTATTTTATTTATACATATACTCTTTATTGCACGAAAAAATTGCATTAAAGAAAAATGTACAATAGGCGGCCTTATCGCTAAAACAGCGCAATGAAATGAATAAATCGATAATTATTCTGATATCTCAGTTAAATTACTAGACATTAAAATTTGTTTAGTACATTTTACGTGTAAAACTTGTCTTTTAGGTATACTGATTTAAATTTCATCATCAATAAACGTTTTTTTAGGAGCAGCAACGCAAGCATCAGTTGCAGCATCAATTGCAGCAACAACTTCGCGGGGCGCAACGGGCCATGAGACCTATCATGCCCACTAACCCTGGACTGAGGCATTTATTGCAACAGGTAACACACATACATACATACACACATGTTATAAAATGTATACAAAAAAGCTATGTATGTGTATAACACATGTAAAATAATAACCCACACATACACAGTTATAATCTTGTAAACAAAATGCATATCATATAGCATAAGTTGTCTTGAATTTCATTAAATAATGAACCATCATCCCGCATTCAATTTTTATATGTCAAGTGATTGCCAAAATATGTTTATTTTTTGATATTACATACATAAAATATGTTTGTTTGAATAAATATAAAGTTATGTAACTTATTCTGGCAACACAGACGTGTGAATGAAACATTATAAACTGGCAACATCACCCTCATTTAGAATGCTTTGAGTTAAAATAACAAATAACTTGATTAATTTTATTGAGTAATTTTGAATATACATATTCCTCAAAATTGCTCAGTAACTTACTAATAGAATTTCCTTTGTATTATAACCATTACTCATGAAAGCTTTGATAAAATCTAGTTAAAAGCACGCTTACCCTTCAAATTGTTTGCTGAATCACTCCATAATCATAAAGCCTTGCACAAGCACCAGACTAACCAGAGCGTCAATTGAGCATAACTGAGCATACTGAGCATATCTGAGCGCTCAATGCTCAAGTCACTTGTGTTCTAGCAACAGCAGGCGGCGCGCGGCGGTCGGCCACACATGTGATGCAACACTAAGTAATGCTTCCACTAATATTTTAATTAACTCATGATAAATAATGATAGATACTTAAAACATAACCATCATTTACAATTCAGACGCAATCGGGTAATATAGTAAAACTTAAAATAAATCTTCATATTTATCATGAGTAAGTATTTTTCTTTAATTTTTGTTTTATATCAGTTTCATAATCAAGTTTCGGAAATTTTTGGGTCATATTGCTTATGGAACTGATATTTTCGCTTCGCTTGACTAATTTATACGCAATAACCTTTTAGACCTGAAGAATAGTTTTTGTTCTGATACAGAATACAAGCTTTGCACGCTGTCATGATCATTACATTAAAATATTAAATAATAATATATATATAATATTGCAAAATACCTACTTGAAGTATGTATGTATGTTAGGAAATAAGTTCTATAGTAGCGGAGGTCAAAGACTGTTTGTGTGAACATTTTAGTAGTGGGGGGAGCGAGTGGGGACTAAAAAAGGATAAAAAAAATTAGGAAAAAATCGTTAAATTATCAAAATTAGGGTTAATAAATAGTCTACAAAGTATTAAACCAGAAAGAGATTTTAATATTATAGATTTTTTTTATGCTATATCTTCAGTTGTACTGGAATCATGGAATATTTTGTCAATATTAACGTTTTTATTTCTTAGACCAATTAAAGAGCCCTAATGATTTGTATAAAAGCGTTTGTACAAAGTACACTTAATTAATGATTTCAGAAATTTTAGCACATAGAACTCTAAAGATTATGATTTATTAGATTTTTTATTAATTTCCTTCAGATAAAAAAAATTAGAAGCTTCCCCTTTATTTTCCAAAAAAACTATTTTTTTTTCAACATCAATTATCAGGTCAAATCATCTGATTACTATAGGAATATTATTAAAGACTTGTACTATTAAAATGTGTCCTCAGTCTACATTAAAGGTCTTACTTAATACATATCACAAACAACTGTAACAATTATTTTCGACTAGCTTTCCGTCGGTAGCTTCGCCCGCGTGGATTTCGGTTATATCGCGTTTCCAAGAGAACCTTTCAAAAGTCTGGGATAAAAACTATCCTATGTTCTTTCTCAAGGTCAACTCCATCTCTGTACCAAATTTCATTAAAATCAATTCAGTGGTTTAGGCGTGAAAGCGTAACAGTAAACAGACAGACAAACAGACAGAGTTACTTTAGCATTTATAATATTAGTAGGGATGTAAACTACACTCGGGCCACACTAAATCCCCTATCAGCCTCCACTACTAAATCATAACTTAACCTACACTTGACTTATGTCATTAAATATACCACAATATTAATGACATAAATCATTATTAACTCAATATGACCATATTTAAGATCTATTATTATCAAGAGAACATTTCTATGAAGAAGTTTTTTAATATATATAATTTATTGTCATTTCTAACAGCAACCGCAGTATCGCGCTGCGGGCACCGGCCGCCCTCCTGGTCAACAATTCGAAGACGTGGCCAACTACAATGACTTCCTATAATAATAAATAAATATTTTGACTACATACCTTTTATTTTATTTTCATACTGGCAACATTCCTTTTAATATATCACCATTATTATTAACTAGCTGCGCCCCGCGGTGTTACCCGCGGATTTCCGGGATGTAAAGTAGCCTATATGTTATTCCTGGACGTCAGCTTCCTATATTCAACATTTTATCAAAATCGGTTCAGGCGTTTGAGCGTGTAGAAGTAACAAACATACACACACACAAATTTTCGCAATTATAATATTAGAAGGATGGCAATACTTTATACCTTTTTGTATGGTGTATGAATAAAAAACAAAAATAGAAAAATACATATATTTCCTAATATTCCAGCACAATATTTATATTGTATTTTAGTAGTACAGTGTAGCTTAGTTTAACATCAAGCCAGCGATATAAAAATATAGATTACATAGATTTGACACAAAGCAGGATACAGTAAGTAGAGATATCAAAATGTAAGACTTCCTCTAGTGAAGAGAATACATGTTTTACATTAGAAAACATTCTATTTTATTAATTTAAACAATACTTTATGCATTTATTTTCTAAAGCAACGTTTCGTTACTCCATCGTCGAAATCTTAATTATTAAATCCTAATATATGATTTCATTTGTATGACACATTTTCTTTTAATAATTCTATCTATAGATAGTAACTATAGATATTATAGGCGATATCTATCCTGCAAATAAGTACATTACAAGTATATCTATGTATAGTATAATATAACCTCACCCCTCACTCAGTTACATAAACTTAACTTATTATTCTTTACATAAACGTTAGAAACAATTCTTGTTTAATATTTATCATGTACTTATGACATAAGTATCAAATGCATTAAGTATAACAGTTATAAAAAAGGAATTGATTAGAAAATATTGGACAAGCGGTATTTAAAAATAATCACAAAGCGTCATAGTAGGTTGCAGGTTTTTTGAAGTGAAACTTCTTATGCGACTTATAACATGGTTGCGTTAAACGTTTAACGCTTCTTGGGTAGGGGATAAAAAGAGACAGAATGAGATTGAATGCGTGTCGCTCGAACGCAGGTTGGCAATCAAATATGGCTTTTAACTTTTAAGTAATGTTTATTAACTTTGTCTTAACACTATAAATTTCTGCCCCTTTTTGTTTTCTTTCCAATATTACGAAGTTTCAATTCTTTAACGCGGAGGAACTCAAAGCACTATTATTTTTAGTAAGTTAGTTTCATACTACAAGCTTTACATTATATTACAATTAACATCTACGGAATAAACATCATATGAAATGCCGCCGAGTTATTTTGCGTTCGGAAATTTGTGACTTTTCAAATTTACACTTAAAACTATAAAACATTGTCCAAATATATATGATTCAAAACGTTTATTCTTCTAACATTAAAAATAATTTTATATAAAATTGATGACTACGATCTTTTAGTCTTCGAGACGTCTTTTCTGAACAAATTCTACTTCAATGATATTTAATATAGATGGGAATGTATAGTTATTGTAATATACTTATAATAATAAAAATCTACACAGAGACGTAATATCGAAGCCTTTTAAGTAATTGTCAAATACATAAAGTTTATTCCGAGCATAACATATTATTTACATCACGGTAAATGTTTTAATATCACACATTAATTTATTTTATTGGCATAAAACAGTTAAACTTGTACCAAACGGCTCTATCACAATTCGCACTTCGACTAAAAAACCTAAACATATAAGTATAAAATGCTTTTTTTTGTACGCTACAATACAAAAACGACGCGCTTACCACAATATGAGTATTCAATATTTACACACATTTCATACATACTATGATACTTTCTTGTCGCTTCTGTCATTATCACACTTGCCGGTGTCGATGTCACTTTTGACAATTTTGACGTCACTTTTGACAATATTGACGTCACTTTTGACAGAGGCGACGTCACTCCTGTCAGTGTCACACTTGTCAGGGAAACTGTTCTGTTTTGTGACGCCGTTGTGGCACGAGCCGTTCGTTTGAACCTTCTTCTTCTTTTTGGGCATCTCGTAAACCCTCTCGATGAGAGCGAGCAGAATACTCCCGGGGACCCTTTGATGTTCTTCAACCAAGTCTTCTATGGCGCTCGCGACCTGGAATAGTCCGTCAAGATTGTTGTATTAAAAGACACTTAACTAGTAGAGTTAATAAAATATGAGTTGATAAATAAAATTGAGATGGCTAGATTGACAAAAAAATAACAAATCATGTATTTAGTTTTTTCTTGTTTTATAACAAAAAGAAAATTAAACATACCAAACCACTGTTAAATGACACTTACGTCATAGCTATAAAAACTATGAGTTCATAGGACATATTTAAATTTGATGTCATAGATTAAGAGCTCAACTAGCATGAAGTTAGGTCAAGAGACATTTGTTTCTGAGATTACAGATTAATCTTAGCGATGATTTACCTTCAGTTGAAGTGTTTCCGGTGTGAGAGTAGCGTCGTATGGGATGGGCGTGCCTAAATGAGTGACCAGTTTGACGGGGAATCCCCCGTAGACGGGCGCGAGGGGCACGCGGGTCGCCGCGTATATACGGAGGCATATACCTCGCAACCAGCCCACTGTACGGAACGCCTCGCGAACGTTTTGGGTAAACATGGGCACTATCGGCTGGAAATATAACCAACGAATGAATATATTACATGTATAATGAAATGACATTTCATTTAATTAAAATTTGCCGCGTTTCGCGCGTTTGCAACTTGTCAGCAAGAGACGTGTCACTAATGGCGAATTACGTTTAAGTTTTTGTGCACTTTATGATTATTAAAACGTACCTATAGAGAGTTAAACTAAGGTATATAATTGAGGAGGTGATATTAGTGGACTGTAATGTCGTTTCTTTGTATTTTCAGGTGAGATAAAAGTGTAATTGTCATAGTTAATTCTTATAATATTGTAAAGACGTGTTAAATAAAATAAAACTTTGTTTTTTCGGAGAAAAAAATTGTAGTTTCCTTTGAAAATCCTCGATAATATTCTTTAAATATAAACATAGAAATTGTGGAGGTAGTAACGTTTTATAACCTTGGTATGTCCAAAATTTATGAATTTCTTAGTCATTTATCATTTTTTTAATTGATTTTTTGATTATCAGGAACGTGTTATAGTCCTTATTGATCAGATATATCTTGGTACATATATTCTACCCTTCTAAGTAACTAAGTAAATCATGATGTCGAATGTCGCAATATAAAAAGACTGATAATTGTAAACAACTAAAGTAGTCGAAGCAATTGTATTGCATTATTGTTTGAACTAAAAAAACTCTACGAATTGCCTTTTTATAGACTTAATTTCCACTAATTTTAAGTCTGGTCCTTGGAAAAAAATTGAGATATAGAAATATCTTACGACTTTAGCTTCCAGGGCGACTTTAGCGAATCCTATCCTGGACTTCCAGTTCAGTTTATAGTAGTGATCCCCAAACTGAGCCTCGTACACTCCTCCGGGAGAGATGGCCAGCGGGTTCCCGGACCTCAACACACCCGCACACGTCTGAACTGTACCCGGGATCACACACAGACCCTCGAGAAGAGAGGACCAGCCTGGAATTAACGTGAACAAAAACCAATAGAAGATCATTCATATATTAATTTTCTGTTAATTTTCCTGTTTGCCAAGATGGAGTTTCAGATATACATTATGGCAGAAAACTATCTTCCACAATTACTCATATTAAAAGTGTCTAAAGTAGTGTAATAATTATATCTTCTTTCGATTGCGATGTCGTGGGTCGCCATCTAAAGTTGTTAATTACTGGGTTTGAAAAGAAACATCTTTGTAGCTTTAAGTCGTATTTAATAATATGAGAAGATTTAACATAACATAAAGAAAGCTTGGGCCAATGGGTGGTCCGCCATATTTGGATGTACATATGAGATGTTTTATAAAGGAGACTTTACACTAGACTTAATTCTAAAATATAGCATACACACTATATTTATTACATTTCAAATTTTCATCTCAATAAATCACGTAATATATTTTGTTATTCAATTTCATTACTCAAATTCTTATATTCCGTATTGTATAATGAAAAACCTGCGGAATAATCAGTTATTAACATGTTCTGTACTTGCCTGGTATTTTAAACATGAACCTGTCAGCTACAGTGTGTATGTGACGCCTCTTGAAAAGCAGCATACGAGCTATGAAGTAGTACATGTCTATGGGGAGAGCTCCGTGATAGTATATTAAGAGGAACGGACCATCGGGGATGTTCTCGAAGCCTCTTATCTCGTAACCTAAGTAAGATGATGAAAATATATATTTAGGGAATATACTTTGTATTCGAACCGAACCTTTAAATTCCCGAATTCATCCGAAGTGATATTAAAGCTATGACGCTTGGCTTGTGCTCTTTTAATGCGGGAAAGTATGTTATGAACACGACTTGTATTATTGCAAATAGAATTTAACTCATTTAAGGTGTTTGGGCATAAGATAATAATTAGTTTGCTCTAGTTAAGGTTATTTAAAAGTACTGGCTTTATTAGAAAACTATATTTTTATAAGGATTTTGTTAGAATCCTTAATATATATTATTTTAATTCAACCTCCTTGGATTCCAAATAATGGCATTAAAAACAAAACTAAGATCTTCGAAGGGAATAAAAAAAAGTATTGACGTCGTTGTCTATTCATGGACGTATTGTTTAACTTATGTTGTATTATCACACTTTTTTGCTTTGATTAAGAATAATCTTAATCAAGGTCAAATATGAAACTAGCGTTATATAAAAACAATAACAAACATGATAAAAAATTCTTTCACATTATATTAAATGGAAAAATAACTAGGAACTTCTAGAATAAAGTACAAAATTTGTACAGTCAAATTAGGGATCAAAATATTTGTTGTGGGTTCATTCAGAAGTGATATATATAAATCTTAAATGGAAAAAAACTTCTAAAAAATTAAGCTTACATTGTATAGAATAAAGTAGAAAATTTCTAAGTCAAATCAGGAGTCATATTATTTTGGTGGTGGGTCATTTAAAAGTGGTGTATATACGTACCATGCCATAACCACCCATGAGCGTCCCATAATGCACACACAGCAAGTCTAGCCGCATGTCTCCAATCACTATGAACTCCATCTACCACCCGTAACCTGATGAAGAACAAGAGGTGTGATCAAATTTCATGGTATAAAAACTCCAGACCATGTTTCTTACAAAAAATGCCAAAATAAGTACCTTTTTTGGTCCTAAAATTATGTTTTTTTTTACAAACTAAATACCATAGATCATTAATAAAGTATATAAATAAGTACCAAAACTACAACGTCACAATATCCAATAAAATGCAAGGTTTTAATTCTCCATTCATAAATCCTCGCACGTGTAAACGTAGAAATAGTGATAGCAAACTAGTAATTGTGTATTTAGTTATACAATGAAAATTTATATAAAGTATTGAGTACTCAATCCTCAGAAATGAAGGACAACAGTATAATCGTAAATTCTAGAAATTTTCTTCTACCAGGCAATTTCCCAGCTTTAGCCAGAGTCTGCCTTACATGTTGTGAATAGTTTTGGCTATTTGTTTTTACGACCGCCCGCCTGCCTGAAATCAACCCCCTTTTCCTAAGCTCTTTAATATATCCAAATCCATTTTTAGCATCCCTCACAAGTATTATAGACTCCTGTACTTATTTTTTACAAATTAGTTGTTTTCACAATTCTCATTCAATGCCAAAACATTTTACTATCATCTACTGTTATTTTAGTTTTATCATAGGTCATTATAAATAGCAATATTTTTTGCCAAACTCCAACGTAATTTACACTGATTGCACACTTTTTTAGATTTCTGAGTTTCTTTCGCCGGTTCTTGTCAGGTCAGGGTATTTTCTTTTCCGAACCGGTGGTAGTGTCTCAAGTGACCATCAATAAGAAAGTGTAATGCTTCTATATTGAATAAAGTTGTTTGAGTTTGAGTTTGATTAAGGGTAAGGTCAGCTACTGATAAAAAAGCGCGGGATACTTTCTCATTTTTATATATCTCTCCTTTTCTCTCTGACTCTCTCTCTTTCTTTCTTTGTCAACCAATAGGATTTCCTACCAAAAACTCTGTAGAGAATAAAAATTCGAATATTTTATTTCCTGCTAACTTTTCTTTCAATTTACCGGTCAGGATTTAATGTCTATTAACTATATGTTAAAACGGTTTTTCGATGTATGCCGGTAATTCTTAAAATAATAGACTAATCAATATAACATTCCTATCTAATTATAGATATTATTTTATTCCTTACAAATGTTGTAACAAACCTCATTTTTCATGCAAATCATCTTCACGAATTACGAAACGTCTATGGTTCTAATACGGGGCGTAAAGTCGAAAATATAATACAAAAAATTCGACAAACTATTAAAATAACACGGCATTGGAAACTATCAAAAATTTTGAACATATTTTTAATACTGTATGGTATTTTTTATTAAAACGGTATAAAATTAAATTCTATATTATTAAATCGATGGCTAGTATAACAAAAAAATATTACGTGTTTAGTTTCTTTGTTTTTGAATCACAAAAAGAAAATTAAATCCAAGCATTGGATTCTCGTGAATCGTGATAGCCTATAACTATTACGTATAAGTAACAATTACCATTAACATAAAATTAAATAAATTACTATACAGTACATATTATCTGAGAGTCCAGAATGTTCCATGTATTATTTAATAACAAAAAAATTATTATAGCATTGAACATTTAAACGGACGATAAAAAATATTGTAATCAGTAGAGTAATTTCATCAGAGAAAATACTTCAAATGACTGATATATTTGACATTTCAAAGACATAGATTAAATATTTGGGCGGGAAATATCCCTACTAATATTATAAATGCGAAAGTAACTCTGTCTGTCTGTCTGTTACGCTTTCACGCCTAAATCACTGAACTGATTTTAATGAAATTTGGTACAGATATAGAGTTGGCCTTGAGAAAGAACATAGGATAGTTTTTATCCCAGACCTTTGAAAGGTTCTCTTGGAAACGCGATATAACTGAACTCCACGCGGGCGAAGCTGCGGGCGGAAAGCTAGTATTTTATATATATAATCAGTTTGGAAATCTCCTAATATATAAAATTTTCATGTCAGAATGTTAGTTAATACTCCTCCGAAACGGCTTTACCAATTTTAACCAAACATTGTATATGTATTCAGTAGATCTAAGAATAGGCTATCCATTTTTTCACATCCCTAAGTGATAAGGCTTGTTCTTTAGTTTTTGGACGTAATTTTTTTGTTTTTATTTTTACGCATTTTTATTTATGTGGCAAACAACGTTAATTTAGTTTTCATAGTCAAAATCATTACAAAACAACTGTGTTACACTGGTTTGTTTAAACAAATATATGTATATGTATATACAACCTAAAACAAAGTTCTTCATTAAAGCAAGATTATAAAATTAAACAATTATTTTCGAACATAATACATTATTTATTTAATGAGATCTAAGATTTTCGCGAGTATTCATTTAAATTAAACTAATATTTTAAAATGTACTAGGTACGCGATTTTTATTTGTATCAAAAACTACATACTCCCGACGTTATAGTTACTTTACAGCAACCGTGATCACGGACAGACGAGATGTGACATTATTTATTATATTATTGTACATATTCATTACGTAATAATTACTTCAAAGAATTCGTCATCACGGGCAGACGAGATTAAATTGTCAGTTTCATGACACAGCTAGTTGACACTCATCTCTCTAGACCGTGATCACGGATGCTGTAAAGTTATCGAAAAAAACGTCGTGAGTATGTAAAATATTTAAAAAAACCCGTTGTTATATGCGATAAATATAGCTCTTCATTTTAATGTGCGCCCGCAAAATTGTTAGGTGTATATATATCGATTTTTTTGGAATATAGTACGAGAGTGAGGCTGTACAAAAGATTAAATAGGTATAATATGAAAGAGTAGGAAGTAGAAATCCGCTTGTTTTGTCTTCAATGTTTGTCGATTATTTTTGGATTTTTTTTTCCAATTTACATTGCCTATTTCGGGGTAAAAATACATATTGATAAGACTATAATCACATCGCTTTATGCTTCCAAGAGCTTCTTATCAATGAAACCGAAAGACGAACAAGCTAGTATATGGCTAAAGTGTATTAATAATAATGAAAATGAATGAAAAAACGTTTATTTTATATACAGGGTGACTGGTGAATTACTATCGATATTTGAGGACGTGATATTTGACGAATATAACATAAATATTAATAAACTTCTAAGTAAAGTTAACCAAAAGTTATGTTATTAATTACGCATCGTATGAACACCCTACAGATTAGGTATACACACACACTCACACATACGCGCGCGGCGGCGTGTTGTTGTATCAGCACGCCGCCGCACGCGTCCACACTTGGAACACTTGGAACGTGTACACACTTTATTTATTTATACGGAAATTTTGTCAAAAATTAAGTACCTATTTTTTTTACATAATTCGAATGAGAATCATGTACCGAGTATGCTCCTTAAATATTGATAGTAATTCACCAGTCACCCTGTATACATAATTTGAATAAAAAAGATTGTTTTCAACGTAAACCATCATAGCAGAATTCAAGCTAAATATATTCAGTATAATACTGATAAAAAACAACTAATCTTAGTCAGAAGTTGCAGACATAGCAAAATGCTTTTGGTAGTACTACATTGGTAGTTATTGAGATATAAATAATTATAAGTTGGACGAACCTGTAAAGTCTGTATAGATGGAAGATGACGCTGCTGACGTAGATGAGTACGATGATGACCGCTGGCAGCAGGAAGGTCACGATGACCGGAGTCAGGAACCAGGTCAACCAGAGACTGTACTCCGTGTCTACGTATTCCACTGGAAAAACAACAATTCTCATAGAAAAACATTCACATTATCCATAATCCTCTTTTGTGTCTAAAGTTTGGTCTATGAAATATCGTGAGAAAATTAGTTCAAAATCAAATGTAACATCTCATTTTCGTGATAGAGATTGCTACAAAGTAACCGAAACGTCGAGAGTATGTTTTAAAAATAAATAACGCGAAGTAATCCGAAATTATTAGTTTCTGTTATAAGAATAAGTTGAATAAGTATTATTATATAGTTAAAATTTTGTTATAAGCCTGAGAAAAGCAGTTACCATGACTTTTCAGATTATTATGACGAAAACCCTACAACGATGGACCCGACACCCGCACGGTGAATCCATTGAATGCTAAGAGGTTTCGTATCTTTTAGTGATATTTACAATTGATTCTTTAAATTGGTTTCCAAGTTTAATATCCGATGAAGAAAATATGTGGATATCTGTATGACGAATAGAAATATTGGCTTATGTTTATTCTATAAGAGAAAATACTAAAATTAATTAACTAGTATTATGAAATTGAGCAAATATGGTCTCGAAATTATTATTTGATGTTGAAGTAGATTTATTATTTGGTATTTGGTTTGAACAACTATTGGTGTTATATAAACCATTATATAGGAAAAAATCTTTCAATTTTTTTCATAAAGCTGTTTTCCAACAATTCTAGAAATTTCACAAATGAACAATATACACAAGTCAAAACTACACGAATACAGGAATAATCAGAATCACACAATCATAATAGCTTTCGAATACCTTTAGTTGAATTCAAACAATCAAACATACAAACATAATCATCGAATTCAATAAACAAATTAAACTCAAAACAAATGTTGAGATGCCAGAAAAACCCTAACTTACACTGCATTATAATAATAATAATTATTATTATTATTTGCTCTGAATGTAGGTACAGAATATAGGTGTACAAAAGATTTTAGTGCATTATTGTTGATTTAAAACTTACATAATTCTGAGATAGATGAATATTACTAATAAATTTAAATTACTCTATATCTTTCAAATATACGTCTTCTAGTACACATTTTGCTATCAGAAAAGACTATTGATTTGTGGTTGTTCAAGCAAATGGTTTTTATTCCAAGTTAATAACTCCAGGCATTCCCTAGATCATGAGTAAAGACAGACAACGAAGGGACCTAAAGGGAATAAATAGATTCCTTATTTTCGAAGTACAGAAACATGAAGAATAGTAGAAGACGATTCTTTAACAAATCTTTCTTATTAACATACTAATTTAACCTTCTTTTTATCTTTGGAAGTAGAGAACATATTATTTCTCATCTAAAATATAGAATTTGCAATAGTTTTCGCATATCCAGCTTTTTCAGGACTCAAACACCATATACATTGTCAAGTCAAACTGGCAGACAGGCTTTATAATTATAACCATAAGAAGATTATGGCTAAGTCTAAATATATTATTGTGTACAAGCACACTTAATTTTTGGTATAAAAAGATATATTTTAATTCCATACATACAACCCCTACTAACATTATAAATGCGAAAGTAACTCTGTCTGTCTGTCTGTTACGCTTTCACGCTTAACCACTGAACTGATATTAATGAAATTTGGTACAGAGATGGAGTTGACCTTGAGAAAGAACATAGGATAGTTTTTATCCCAGACTTTTGAAGGATCTCTTGGAAACGCGATATAACCGAACTCCACGCGGGCGAGGCTGCGGGCGGAAAGCTAGTTTTATATAAACCCATAATATACACGACTATTTATTCCACAATAATTATTTTTTCTCATCAATAAAAGCTAAAACCGTGTCTCTCCATTCAATATATCGAGATTATATTTTATTGTTTTTAATTTAAAAATATAACTCGTATTGTGTTTAAGAAACAAATTAAATTATGTCCAACAATAATAATGAAGTTAATATACGGAATATAACATTTCTATATAAAGTAACTAGTTTTTAAAGAAACCAACTGTATAATAGCAATTCCCTATTAAGTGTTACCACTTGTACCTGTTCCAATGCTATAGACAATTGTTACTAAGTACTAACAGAGTTATTTTTTATTGTTTAAATGTTACTCTTCCAATATGAGTATAGTGATGGAAAAAAAGAAAAAAACGAATCAATAATTTCATAGTATAAGCTACATTTTTTTAATACTTATTCATATAGAGAATATATGAATTAATTCGAATTTAAAACTACATACTTAAAAATGTATATATTAAAATCATTACAAGCCATCAGATATACATTTCGATTTATTTTATATAAATACGTAATAAAAATAAAAAAAATATGTCAATCAATAAGCACCAGTAATATCTAATCAATATATTTTATATCTCAGTTCAAAAGTACATTTCTCTCAATCATCATCCCGGATGCTGGGTTCTTATCAATAATTTTTTTTCCATGGATGTGTATCGATAAAGGAAATCCGGGTGATAACGCGGTCTCGGAGACGTCTAGACTGTATGGTCTAGACTGTGTGTGAGTCGCATGTGGTCTAGACCGTAGACTGACCTATAAATGAGACTTGTGTTGTTTCCATGGATAAAATCACAAGTATTTATTAGGTGATAAGATTAAATTAAGCTTAGTAAGTAGTTAAATGTGTAAAACAGATAGATAGTGAAAGAAAAAGGGATTTATATGTATATACTACTAGTTTTTGCACGCGACTTCGTCCGCGTATATCAGAATTAGTAATATAGAGGCCACAAATAAATAGATATCGGATTTTTTTTCTTTGATCGAATAGAATTAAATATCCTATGTCCGTCTCCTAGTTCTAATCTATCTCTCCACCAATTTTCAACCATATCCCTACAGTCGTTAATTATAAATAGTGTAACTAACACGACTTTCTTACATATATATGTATATATGTTTATATGTGTTATATGTTGCACGCGTCTGCCACGCGCTGTCACGCCTGCATATGACTGACCCAGGTCATGGATTCATTCTATTTCTTTGTATGATAACGACTTTAATATCGTCTTATTAATAATATATTATATATACATATATACCTCGAGAAAAGTTAGAACGATTTATTTAATGCAACGAAATACTTTTTTTATTGTACTTAATACTACAAAGAAATTTTTCAATTTAAAAACTTAAACTAAACTTATTTTAATAAGAGTAATTTATACTATTTTGATTATTAATTTTTTTTAATATGTCCTTCATCCGTACAAAAAATTGCACATTATTTTCTGTCAGTGTCGTGTAAAATGGACACACGATCCGGGATTAAATTTTACATGAAATAAAATTTTACATGACTGAAGTCACAATTAAGAACTTTGTTAGTAGCTCAAAAACAACACAAATACAATTAAACGATTATACTACTTTTTAACACACTCCTTGCTAATATTTCAAATAACCGTCACTTATTTTGACAGATGTTTGACAGTTTTGACAGTTGTTCAACCAGATGACAGAACTAAAATGTCATTTACAAAGATCGCGAAGTTTTGTTCAGTATAAAATCTGCACATGACATTGGCGAAGTCTATAAGGACAATAAAATCGAAGAAAAAGTCTAAACTAACATTATATTTTAATCTTAATGAATCATATTTTTGTCGGAATCAAAGTAATTGTATCTTATTTAAATGAAACTACAATTTTTCGGATATACTACGCGTGTTTTATTATTATAAAAAACTACATACTTCTACGTTTAGACTACTTTACAGCAACCGTGATCACGGACAGACGAGATGTGAATTTATGTAGTTTTTTACAAAAATAAAACACCGAAAAATTATAGTTTCATTTAAATGAATACTCGCGAAAGTCTTATCTTATTAATTGTCTCTTAACTAGTCTGGTCTGAAATAAAATCTTTGAGATACAGAACCACTACCAACTTTGTTATAGTATAAAACAATCATCCCTACTTATATTACATATAAATGCGAAAGTAATTGTGTCTGTCTGTTTGTTACGCTTTCACGCCTAAACCACTGAACTGATTTTAATGAAATTTGGTACAGAGATAGAGTTGACCTTGACAAAGAACATAGGATAGTTTTTATCCCAGACTTTTGAAAGGTTCTCTTTGGAAATGCGATATAACCGAACTCCACGCGGGCGAAGCTGCGGGCGGAAAGCTAGTACTATACATAGATGTACTTGTAATAAAATTTAAATGAAACTTTTTTTACAACGAAACTATAGGTGTCGGTTGTTAAGATATCGAGTGCAGTATAACACGATTTAGACTCTAGTTACGAAGTACTTTTTAATGGACCGGAGTTGAATTTAACATTTTACCTGCTAAGAAAATATGATCAACGGATGTTTGTATGTCACACAATAACACAAAAACTAACAGGCAGTTAAACGTAAACGTTTTATTGAGTGAATTCCGAGGAATTAAACTAGTTTTAGTATTAGTTTTCGTATTTTAAAGATGACTTTAACTGTACGAAACTTATAATTATTTTTATACAAAATAAAACATTGTAGTGTAAAAAATTGGGTTCAAATTCAAACAGAAAGCACATAATGAAAAATTCTTTATCAATTATCGGGATTCAAACTTACGACCTCAACCATATCGCGTTTCAGTAACTTTTCCAACTAAACTATCGCGCTTTGAATCAATTCGATTAATTTATCATACTGTATAAATATAAGAGGTAAATTTTTTAACCAGATTATCTGTGATAAATACTTATTCTTCTACCTGGCAATTTCCCAGCTTTAGTCAGGGTCTGCCTTACATGTTGTGAATAGTTTTGGCTAATTATTTTTACGACCCGCCGCCTGCCTGACATCAACCCTCTTTGGGAATGCATACTGTAACTTACAAATCTATCCCATACTACACAGGAAAGTCATGCAGAGCTTAGTATGAGTTTCCATAGCCGAACTATTTTAAGTTACAAGTATTTTGGATATAAGTACCAGAACTGTTCAAAGCCTTATCTATTAGAATTAAAAGAACATTATAATTTTGGATATACCCAGTATGGAAGAGAGAAAAAACAGAAGTAGGTCTATTTCCAGCTGTTCTGGAAGTCTCCAGATGTGACTAATATACAGGTGCATCGTATATACAGCTGCTATTGATATTTCATTTCAAGGAAATATTGTTTAATGGAAATATTCGTTAATAATTTTTCATATTGAATTTAAATTAGGAGGTACCTACTGTATTTTAATATGAATATGCAAAGAATTATCAAATAATATTAAATTAAAATTATAATTAAATTTAAATACATATCTTCAATTATTCTACTATCGCTAATTTGGAGGACCCTATGGTGTACGACAGTTTTGGTGTAAAATTACCAATGACGTACAAACATAAATATAAATATATATATATGTAATTTTTAATATTATTTTTATTTATTCTTAATGTTTGTTTAACATTTCGACTGTTTGGTAAATTATATTTGCAAACACACTAACGACAGATAAGATACATATATTGCGATACGGAGGATCGTATGAAAAATACTTAAAAAAACATTAATAATCAATTATAGTATATGAAAAATATTAATTAAATAAGAATTTTCCATAAATAGACGTAATGTATATACAATATTTATAATATGATATTTTTATAAACAAGAAATTTGCTCTAAAGTTAGAACATACTTTTTTTTAAAGCTACATATGTCTTCATTCGCACTGGGATTGTAAAATATTTGACAATATCACATAATATATACAGGGACAATAAAAATGTAACTGTGATTGTACATATAAAAGAAAATAGTTATTAAGTAAGATATGTATATATTTTAATGCATTCCCAAAGAGGGTTGATGTCAGGCAGGCGGCCGGTCGTAAAAACAATTAGCCAAAACTATTCACAACATGAGGCAGACTCTGGCTAAAGCTGGGAAATTGCCAGGTAGAAGAAGATATATATATGTATATATTTTTCATCATTTATATACCTTATCATATTACCTTGAACTTGAACGAACGCATCCAATGTCATCATAATTATCAGTTATTTTATTTATAAATAAAATATTAAATTAATTTTTATTGACGACACATTGATTGATTTTTATGATTTATTTAATGATACATCTGGTTTTATTCTGGAAGCTGCAAATGGAAGGACGAGAGGATTTAAGAGCTGGAAATATGATGAAAGGATTCTTACTTGGACAGAGACTTCTAATATTACTACATATATACATATATAATATTTGTTATTTTTTATATAATCATGAGTAATAATATAATTTTAAGATATAAATAAAGATTCACATCTCGTCTGTCCGTGATCACCGTTGCTGTAAAGTAACCGAAACTTCGGGAGTATGTAGTTTTTTAGAATAATAAAGTCGCGTAGTATAATCCGGACATATTAGTTTTAATTATATGAATAAATATGTTAATTTATTTTTCTTTAAATACCTCCTCAAGACACGAAGGATGAGCGATTTATACGAATAAATCCGAGAGTAAAAGCTTGTATTATAATTATTCTTTTTATTTAAACGTGGTGATAATTAAATACTCCGAAGATTCTAGATATTATCACGCGTTGACACTAATAGTATAGTATATTATTGATACTTAACGTTAAAACTATAAGTATTGAGTTAAAACTGCTATGACGTAAGTAAGCGTAGTCACTCTTAGTACTAGTAAATTCAGGTGTTAGATTTTTTGTTTTAACTTTGATCTCTACTTATTCTTAAGACATACAAAAGATCGAAACTATAACCTTGTGATACTCTGACCAAAATTCGCCCACCCATCATATTAGAACCGCTCTTGATGTCGCTTAACTTTTTTGATACACTACAATCGGCTACAGATATGAGATTTGAGATTTTTTCATCAAATTAAATTTATATTTTCGAGACTTCGTTTATTTTATTTAACAGTAATTCTCTAGTTCTATGAAGTAAAATATGTACATAGTTTAATGAAAATTCAAGCTAATTATAACTGAGAAAATAAAACGTACATGCCTTCGCAAAAGAAACAAAAGGATGTAATTATATTGATATATATAGTAGTAATTTTATGAATGAAAAACTTGAAACAAAATTCTTTTGATTTTACAACTTGGGTTTGTCCAGAGTTAATATGATTTCATTCTTGGAAGTTGGAACGTACTTTGAAGGCAGCCCTAGTAGGTTCTTTTCAAATTTGGTAGAGAGAGGAGCTTGGACAGTGGAGGTGAGCGTTTAACGCGTTAGATAGGGTCCCTTAAACCTACACCTGGGTCACAAGTCCCAGTCACTGTTGAAGCTCCTCTCACTACAACGATGGACCCGACACACGCACCGTGAATACATTGAATGATGAGAAGTTTCATCTCATCTATATAGTAATGATATGAACCAAAATTCAATATTGTTCTAGTACAATACTTCTTCTTCTTCCTGGCATTTTCCCGACTATAGCCAGGGTCTGCCTAAATCTGTCTGTTCTAGTACAATACTATCATTGAATATAATTTTATGTATATTTTTAAATAACAAAACAATGTATATATTTTAGGAATGTTATTTCAAAACATATTTATACTATTTTAAAACGCTGATCATTGCAAACATGCGACCCGCTTTAGAAAGTCGTCAAAATTATAATAATTATTTGATTTGTTAATTAATATTATTATATATGTATATATTTGTGTATGTGTGTTTGTATGTGTGGGTATTGTTATACTATTTTTTTTCTGATATTATAGAAAAAATAATGAACGCATTTTTATGAAAATAAATCCGTTATGATAATCCTACTTATATTATAATTGCGAAAGTTGGTGAGTGTGTGTGTATGTTTGTTACTTCTTCACGCTCAAGCTGCTGAACCGATTTTGCTAAAATTTTGTACAGCGGAAGCTGACGTTCAGGAATAACACATAGACTACTTTATATCCCTGAAAATGTCGACTCTGTCTGTCTGTCTGTTACACTTTCACGCCTAAACCACTGAATTGATTTTAATGAAATTTGGTACAGAGATAGAGATGACCTTGAGAAGGGACATAGGATAGTTTTTATCCCAGACTTTTGAAAAGTTCGCTTGGAAACGCGATATAACCGAACTCCACGCTGGCGAAGCTGCGGGGGGAAAGCTAGTTATTTCTAATTACTTCTGAAGTCAGGTTACGTTCAGATTGTAATGCTTTTATATATTATTTTTAGATTTCTATTAATTTTTAAAAAATATTATCAATGACATACAAGTATATATGTATATATATATATATAACAATAGGAGATTGATGTTGTAACTACGTAAAATGAGACTGAAACCTAGACTTAGTATTTGCGGTTAATTCCGGAAGAATTTGTTACAAATTATTCACTAAATAATTGACGAAATATAGGAGTCCTGTAGATTTATAAATATAAGTTATCCTGATAATACTTATGGAAAGTACTATATGAAGAAATTATAATTATGAATAATTCTTTGAATCTTCTTCTTCTACCTGGCAATTTCCCAGCTTTAACCAGGATCTGCCTTACATGTTGTGAATAGTTTTGGCTAATTGTTTTTACGACCGGTCGCCTGGGTGACATCAAACCTCTTTGGGAATGCATTAATCACCACGCTTGCTCAAGACGGGTTGGTGATTTCAAACTTATAATTGTGAATTTACAAGTCCAGGTTTCCTCACGATGTTTTCCTTCACCGTCTAAATACTATTAGAACAATTATGAAAAATTCTTTGAATTTTCACTAATAACACACACACACACACACACACACACACACACACACACATAGCAAAAACTGTTTAAAATCTCTAAATATTTAGTATGTACATTTACCTGAATCACTATATACATAGGAATATATATTATATTATATACTGAGACTAAAATGAAAACAGGTCGATTACTATCAGTGGGTTATCGGTACATAATAAAAACACCTTTAGATTTCTTCTATATGAAAAATTAAGATTTAATTCATTTTTATAATATCTATATAAAACTTTTTTATGAAAAATCAATTAATTTTCGCTATTTTTTTCTTCAAACGATACTATTTAAAATATTATTGGATATAATTAGAATTTAATACATAAATACGTAAATTATTTCGCTTAAACGCAATTAATAAGTAACGCTTACACATTAAATATTATGTCGATGCAAAATATCGAATATACAAATATTAAAACGATTATAATAATAATACTTACAATACAAAAGACAGAATACAACAAGAACAGCCATTCTTACGATATCGTTGGTTGAATCCGAGTCGAATTTTGTTAAAAGATCACTCATTATATAGGCTTTAACTGGCCTAGCTTTACACTGATTTTCAACCATTTTTATATAAATAATATATATATTTATTTATTTATCACGTCCGTTCAATACGAACTCTCGAACAAGAATGACTGCACGTACAGATAATACACTAACATAACAACCCTTCTGTTCTTAATTCAAATTAGATAACGTTTTATATTGAATTAATTGCAACACTATTCAACCCTTATATTAAAATTGAGAGCATATTCTACTTGTAATAAAGATTTTTATTGATGGCAAGACTAACATTGAAACATTGTAATTTAAACTTGATAACGTTTTTTATAACAGTTTTATTTATAATGGCAACACTGACTACCCTTATGTACTTAATTCAAATTAGATAACGTTTTATATATTAAATTAATGGCAACACTATTCAACCCTTATATTAAAATTGAGAGTATATTCTACTAGTAAATTTTTTTTATTGATGGCAAGACCAACATTGAAATATTATTATTTAAACTTGATAACGTTTTTTTATAAGAATATAACAGTTTTTTTTTATGGCAACACTGACTACCCTTGTGTTCTTAATTCAAACTAGACGAGGTATATAAGTCTGGTGAATTTTTTATTTTAAATGTCAATGGATGTACAATTTGCGTGCAGGTGGCAGCAATTGACCAGTTTTTGTAGTGGCAGGTTGTTAATATATTTTTAGATATTTTTCTCTCATATCAGTTACTCCTTGGGATCGTTAATACAGCGTCTGTTGTTCTCAAAATGCATTTATATCAAATATATGATGATCTTAGCCGATTATTATAATTTAGGCCATTTGAATGAAAAAATTTATTAATAAAAAATCTTTCATATGCTCAGTTGATAGCAAGTTTGTAGCCAAAACAAAATAGTTCATTATAAAATGTATAAAAATTATCGTAAAACATATTTGAAGGCCAATGTGAAATTTGCCCACCATAGATTAAAACAGACTGCAATAGACTAATACATTTGACGAAGACATAGACAAAATGGGATTATACAGAGTTATTGTATATAAAACTATTAAAGCTTTAGTCTGAACTTTGAGTCTGTGATATAAGTCAAAGCATAGAAAAAAGTCTGTCAAAAAATTATGTCAAAGTGACATTTACTTACAACATGAACTTCTATATAAAGCCAATGTGAAAATCTATAAAACAAATCATATAATTATTTTTACATTTCAACGCTTATTTCCTTATAGAAGTTCTAATCTAAATTTCGTCAATATCGGTCCAGCAATTTCATAGTATTTTCTCATGGCATAATTATATGAGACTTTTTTACTACCTATAAGTGTCTCACGTACCAGTACAATAGTTAAATAACATTATGGATACGTAATAGTCATCTTAATTTAATAAAATTATCAATTATACTTATTTACCGTTCGAGTTTTATACGAATTTTACAGCCGTTCTAGTTTTTATACAACGAAGAAAACCCTGATATAAATTAAATTTCGCTGCCGTATTATTAAGTCGAAAAAACTTTGAGAAACACTGGATTTAATCATAATGACGGGCCCGGGAGGCTTCAATTATGGCATTACTCTCAATACATCACTACAGACACGTCGGAATACGTCAACAATACACTCGCGAGCTGAGACGAGCAAACAGACGTATATTTATATATATATATATATATATATATACAGGGTGACTGGTGAATTACTATCGATATTTGAGGACGTGATATTTCACGATCATATATGAAAAAATGAAAATTAATATAACATAAATATTAATAAACTTCTAAGTAAAGTTAACCAAAAGTTATGTAATGAATTACGCATCGTGTGAACACCCTACAGATTAGGTATACACACACATTCACACAGACGCGGCGGCGGCGTAGTGTTGTATCAGCACGCCGCCGCACGCGTCCACACTTGGAACACTTGGAACGTGTACACACTTTATTTATTTATACGGAAATTTGGTCAAAAACTAAGTACCTATTTTTTTTACATAATTCGAATGAGAATCATGTACCGAGTATGCTCCTTAAATATTGATAGTAATTCACCAGTCACCCTGTATATATATGTATAAGGAAACTATCATACGGTCAGTATGATCGTGATACTTGGACTAAGGTGACCATGATGTATGAGAAATATTTAAGCAGCTGTTACAGCTCTTCAAATAGCTTTAATGCTAGCTATAACCTGATAGATTCTGCGGAGAATATTCTCCAGTCAAATATCTGGATTAAAAACAAATATAGTAATTTAAATTTACAATACAATAATTGAATTACTAAATTAGGCTGACATAAAAAATGGTATACAAATTATTATTTTAAAATAAAAGTGAATGTTACAGTAAAATAAATTAGTTGAGAATAACATATATAATAAATGATAAAAGATACAATATCCCTACTAATATTATAAATGCGAAAGTAACTCTGTCTGTCTGTCTGTTACGCTTTCACGCCTAAACCACTGAACTGATTTTAATGAAATTTGGTACAGAGATGGAGTTGACCTTGAGAAAGAACATAGGATAGTTTTTAACACAGACTTTTGAAAGGTTCTCTTGGAAACGCGATATAACCGAACTCCACGCGGACGAAGCTGCGGGCGGAAAGCTAGTATAATATATATTCCTACCATAAGTTTGCAGACACACTACACACGAAACGATTCCCGTATCTTAATCGAAAAAATAAATGATAGTGAAAAAGTAATGTAAAGTCATGATGCAACTTCAAGAGAAAGATATTTATAAGAATATTTAAATAAAACTAATATTTTCGGATTACTACGCGTTTTTTATTATTTTAAACTACATACATTACTAATAGTGGAATTTTCTCGTCTGTCCGTGATCACGGTTGCTGCTAAGTAACCGAAAAATCGGGAGTATGTAGTTTATAATAATAAAAAACGCGTAGTACATAATCCGAAACTATTAGTTTTATTTAAATGAATACTACTATCATCATCAGTCTATCAGAGCCCACTGCTGAGCAAAGGTCTCTTCTCACATGGAGAAGGTTTGAGCATTAATCACCACGATTGCTCAAGACGGGTTAGTGATTTCAGATTAACAATTGTGAAATTATAAAGTCCAGGTTTCCTCACGATGTTTTTCCTTCACCGTATGTCAGATGATGAATACTACCACTTAGATCTCATTATATTTAGAATATAACAATAATCAGAGTGTCAAAAAAGGAAACACATAAAAAATATTTAAGGAAAAACAATAAGCAATAATAAAAAGTCTTAATACATACATCACGTCAGAAGCATTGACGCATGGACGTTAAAATTGAAATTATATATACAGGGTGACTGGTGAATTACTATCAATATTTAAGGAGCATACTCGGTACATGATTCTCATTTGAATTATGTAAAAAAAATAGGTACTTAATTTTTGACCAAATTTCCGTATAAATAAATAAAGTGTGTACACGTTCCAAGTGTTTCAAATGTGCGTGCGGCGTGCTGATACAACAACACGCCGCCGCGCGCGTATGTATGAGTGTGTGTGTATACCTAATCTGTAGGGTGTTCACACGATGCGTAATTAATTACATAACTTTTGGTTAACTTTACTTAGAAGTTTATTAATATTTATGTTATATTAATTTTTATTTTGTCATATATGATCGTCAAATATCACGTCCTCAAATATCGATAGTAATTCACCAGTCACCCTGTATATATGATGATCGTGGTGGCCTAGAGGTTAAAGGCCCGCCTCTCATTTATGAGGGCGCAGGTTCGAAACCTGGCAAGTACCAATGTGATTTATCCGAATCATATGTACTTTCTAAGAGTATTTAGACATCACTGACCGATGAAGGAAAACATCGTGAGGAAACCTGGACCTATAATTTCAAATTATAAGTTTGAAATCACCAACCCGTGAGCAAGTGTGGTGATTAATGCTCAAATCTTCTTCATGTGAGAAGGGGCCTTTGTTCAGCAGTGGGCTCTGATAGGCTGATGATTATACATACATATAAAATTTATTCGTCTATCTTACTAAACTTATGATATTATTTCGAATTATCTATCACAAAAACAATTGATGTACCCTTAGTCGAAGTAAACATCGTCACTTTATACTGACATTTAGGAGTGCGTAATCGTATGTAGTATGACATAACTACAACTAATGAACTAGGAACTAGCTGTATATAAGTAAAGAAAATTTTAAAGTTTGATATAGAACCAGTTTTATCCGGTTATAACTAGACGAATTGCAACATTTATAATACATTACTTGACGACATTTTAATGTGTATAATACAATCATTTGGGTGACTTAAGACTATTTTTGATTATAGCAGACATGAAACAGGAAGTACAAATACACTGACTTCCTGTTGGATAATTGATCTGAAACTATACAATGATATAAAGTAAGTAGGTTTTTTAATACAAAACTGTAAACATGGGGTTAAGACAGAATTATGTATTACTAGCTTTCCGCTCGCGGCTTCGACCGCGTGGAGTTCGGTTATATCGCGTTTCTAAGAGAACCTTTCAAAAGTCTGGGATAAAAACTGACCTATGTTCTTTCTCAAGGTAGACTCCATGTCTGTACCAAATTTCTTTAAAATTAGTTCAGTGGTTTAGGCGTGAAAGCGTAATAGACAGACAGACCGACAGAGTTACTTTCGCATTTATAATAGTACTAGCTGACCCGGCAAACATTGTTTTGCCATATTAAAAAATAGGGTTCGTGATAAAAAGAAATGAGTTGTATGTATTTAAAAATATGTAAACATATTAAAAATTAAAAAAATATATATAGTTATTGGAAATGGAACGCAATCATATTCGTAAATTTTCGCTACTCTACTTCATACCGGGACCAAAGAATTCTAAAACGGTGAACAGTGAAAAAAATAGGGGGATGAAACCCTTAAAGAAAAGATACGGGATATGATAAAAAAATGGAAGGAAAAATAAGTTATGTTCACTCCCGTAGAGGGCTTATGTTTTTAAGGGTAAAAAATTATGGATCTCGATTTTCTGCAAAACTCCAAGTTCTATCAAGAAAAATTATATAGCAAAATTTTGTATTTACAATATTTTTCAACACATTGTACCGAGATACATTGATTTTTGAAATAAACTCAATACTAAGTCCTATTTTCATGTCTTACTTATTGTAAGTATAAAGTTGGTTACATTTTGTCAGATAAGTTGTATGAGAAAGAGCAACCTACATAAAAATTATATTAACCTTTCAAGAGTTTGCATTTATAATATTAGCGGGATTTCTATTACACTTTTATGACATACAATAATTACAGTAATTACAAAAAAAACTGTCATTTGAATAACAATTAAATTGTAATAGAAAACAATACTTGCAGTCACAGATTATAATTAATTGATATATATTACCATCAATTTCAATTTCTAAAATAGAATTCAAAATTTCACAAATATAAAACAAAGATGAATAACTTTAAACGACTATAATTGGATCTAAAAAAAAATATAATATATATATAAATACTTGTTTTGTTTAAAAAATACTTAACAATTTTGTAAACATAATATTTCTGCAAAAACCTGTTTATATCTAACATTAGCACTATGAAGGTCATGATAGACCATTATTCATTGAAAATTGAATCACAACACTTCAAATTTATTTTTTTATATGAATATATAATAATAATATGTTTAGTTATAATGAGATTTAAGACTTTTATGAGTATACATTGAAATAAAACTAATTTATTTTTATTAGGTACTATGCGTTTTTTTATATATTGAACTGCATACTTCCGACGTTTGGTTACTTTTCAGTGATTTGTCTAGCCGTGATCACGGTTGCTTGAAAATAACTGAAGCATTGGTAGTATATCAAAAATTATTAGTTTTATTTATATAATAATATCTTAAATATATATATTATTATTTGAAGACTATAACTTTTATTAAATTGGTATTCATTTCGTTTCATATTATGCATAACTTGAATTTCCTTATCACTTTAAATATTAAATTTAAATTAAATTTTATTGGTGGATATTAAATTCTCGCTTTAATCGATTTTAAATTATTAATGAATCTTTGTGGATAATTTGCATGATTTTACATTAAATAATTGTTATAACGACAAGGTCGCGATACACAATTCGCGATTTTCGCGTTAAACCTTCACAACTTGCAAAAAAAAATCAGTTTTATTAATATTCGATAAAAATAATAACACTCCAGCTGTTATTTTCATATTCGAATTAGTAAAAAGTAAACGATCGAAATAAATGATATATTTCTCAAATTCATTAACCTAATTGATCTAAGCACACATTGAAACTAGTCTAACAACTTACCTATCATGTCGTACAAAGATGCGGTGTAGTTATCCACGAAATACGAAACAAAACCCATTGCTTCAGCATCACAAAACTAATAACTATATATTACAAAGTTTCTTGAATACTACTCATTTAACGAACTTAATATTTCACATAAGATACGAATAGTAAGTTGAATGTTTCATATCTATTTTATCAGATATATATTGAAACAACAAATACAAAGATTGCGAATCTCGATTTTACTATCGGTGGATCACTGATCCCGATAACAATAATGACAATTGTAATCTATCACTTCGGTCTATATTGACAGTTACGTTTCATTTTTGGTAAACTACAGAAATTTAAACACAATAATTTATTACAATTTTTTCTTTTTATTAAATTCTTTAATACTATATTTATATTACAGAACATAAAAATATATATTTTTTTTATTTTGTTTGAATTGTATATATATATCTAAATATTAACAAAAAATTAACGTCAGCATGACATTTTTATTTTATCTAACTGCACTCTGCAGTACTTGTTCAGTGTAACTTGTTATAGTTTCCTTTTATTTATATTACGTGAAAATGTAGTTTATAAGTGAGAAAAAGAACTTATTAGCAGTCGTTCCTTATTTTGAGTAAAATGAGCGACAAAATTTACAAAATGATGTTGCTAAAACGGCGTCTGTGTAAGCGATTAGACATTGTTGTTATTGCTATGCTCGCAATATCTTTTTACATATCAGTTGTATTATTCGGCGGCTTTAAGGGTCCAGAGATAATTCACGTAACAGATTTACATCGATGTCCGGCCTGCTATGGGGTCACAGTGTGCCCAGAACTATATTCTAATCAAATCACATTAGATTCTTCACACTGGTCTAATATGTTTAACGCAAAGAACATATATCACGGTTACACAAAGTCCAGTAGACGAGTTATATTAAAAAAACTAGCTCACGATTGGGAATTGAATGAATTTGATTCAAAACTTTGCTCAGAATTTCGATTGAATAGTGATTGCAAACCTGTGCAACTGTTAAATATGACGAATATAGATGATAAAGTTCTAGATATAGTTGAATTTAATATAACATGGCCTGATACGGAGCCAAGGAAAGGACTGGTGTTGTGTCCTTATGCATTCAGCATATATGACCTCCTTAAACCAGTGTTTAGTAATAAAAAAGATAATTATAAGTCTGAAATGTTAAATATATGGACCATGCTGAGTATAAACCCAGAACCTATCATATTACAGGTAAATTCTATAATTTTATTATAACATTATTGAAATAAATAATAGACTACCAATATTTTTTTATTTTAAAATTATTCTAAATTCAAAAATTTTGTGTATATTTTTATGAACATTCCATATTTAAAATTTTTCAATTGGTAGTCCAAATACTTTTGAGAAATTAAATTTATTATTATATTTTTCAATTTTTGTGTCAGGTTTTACCAAGATCAAAAGGCTGGCCGGTTCCAGCATTTGCTGGAGTCTGTGGTCGTCTAGAAGTAGTAGCCTATGAAGGTGAACCTCTGTCTTCATTACTACATGTTGCGTGGCATCGGAGACTGAATTACGCTCAGAAGATACTTGAGGCTGCTATGGACTTTACTTTTAAGCATGAAAGGTTAGGACAGAACAAAAATATTTATTTAATGATCTGTGTATTGTGAAACTGAGCGTTAGTTACTCGGCTTATGCTATTTCAGATATTTTCTTACAAATTTATTGACACTCCTTATGTCTGCATATTATTTTCGACATCCTCATGGTGAATCCATTGAATGCTAAGTTTTGTCGCATAGTAATCAATTATGAAATTTTAATTTTTCAACTTAAAATTAAACCCATATATAACCAAGTAGCAAATATTTAGTCGTAACTGCAATTTGATAATCCTATAAAGCTTTAATACATTAAAATATTAATATTTTACTTTACTTTCAGATTCCGCTTCTACCTAATGGATTGGTCATTAGATAACATCGTTGTCAACGAACGAGATGAGATCACATTCGTCGATTTAGAAGACGTGATCATTCTAGATAAGCATATTTCACCGAAATCAGAACTTACAGATTGGTACAAACGCTACAATAGGGAATCCATAGGGCCAGGATTTTCATTTTCTATAGAGAACATGTGTAAACATCACTTGAGCGATCATAATTTGTGGGCGGCATGTTATATATTGATCGGTGATGAAAATCCCTTGTTGTATCCTATACCAAAAGAAGTTAACACATCCCGACCATACTTTGAGAGATTATTGTCAGCTTGCTTGAACGGTGATGATAGATTTCAGACGATACGAAAACTCCAACATGTTATCGAAGAAATGCTGAATGATGAGAAGATTCTACGATCAGGAGTTAGCTGATTATGATTATAATTATTATATTTTTCTTTACAATCTGTGATATTATGTATGAGTTAGGTTGTGCTATGATTGCGATTCATTATTTTTCTGTTTATTTATTTTGTTAAGTTATTTTAGCGATTATTTTAATATAAAATTGTAGCTTTAAATTTAGTTTTAGAAAATCAAAATCTCATAAAAATAATGTCTTCACTTTTATGAACTATAATGTGTAAAATAAATAATAAGAAGAAATTTGTTTTTTTTTATAATGTATAGGATATCTAAAAAGTCACTTTACGATCAATAGTAAGAATCATAATATGGATAATACCCGTTAAGGAATGAAAGTCAGCGTGAGTTTAAATTTTTCATACATCCGCTAGTCGCGTCTTACTATTTAATTTTTGGTGACATGATGGATTAAATCTCAGAAATACTTAAAAATATACAATGCACTATAATATTATTAATAGCAATTTATAATTTCCATTTTTCTAAAAATCATTAAATGTCAGTCAAATTGGTATCTTCTTCTACCTGGCAATTTCCCAGCTTTAGCCAGGGTCTGCCTGTCAGTCTAATTAGTATATTAATTTAATTTATGGAATAAACAATCACAAACCAAATAATTATTCTAGTAAACTCTAGAAATGTAAATTGCAAAATAACAATATTTCCTATTGAATTTATCATGATTGATAAAAAAAATAATTCTATTGATTAACACAAGTATCGATTTCTCTGGCGTAGAGTTAAACCATTGAATTATGAGCAGATTATTCTTAAATAACAATTAATTATATATAATGCAAAAATATTACATTCATTTAAAGTATTTTGTTTCTAAACGAACTTAGAACAACATATTAAATTGTCAATGTCAGTTATAAAATTGAAAAATAATCAGATTATTTTATGAATAATGAAACTATAATATGGAAAGTATTAAGCGTAGTTTATATATGTTTCATTTATATCTAAGTTGGTGAATATAGTCTTAATAATCGTATAATAATGAGTGGATCAGATTCCGAAGAAGAAAACACTTTGCGCTATGGAACACCATTAGAACCATATGAAGAAGGTTATTACCATGTTTTGTATATCTTATATTTGTTTACTCTATAATTAGAAGGCGATAATTTAATATTTCAGTCTCCATCTAATATATATTTAATTACATGAAGCAATACGTGTTGCTGTTACTAACTTCGTGTAAATTGATTGCGTTTTGTTGTTATTAATTTCTTTATGGCACACTAGGATAGAAATAAATCGAATAACGATTTATTTTCAAGATATAAAAAAACAATATGGAAAAGGCAGTCTCATCATTTCGATGTTTGCCTACTGAGTAATTTAAGGCTAAAAAAACTTAATGTTTTTGAAGTGTACTATTGATTGTTCATATTTTCTTAATTTTAACGTAATATGAAATTATTCAAGAATTAAATTTTCATTCTAATCACACTCATTAAATATTTTAAACTAATCTTCAGATGAAATACCATCGAAAAAGAAGTATCAACCTCAGGAGCAATATGCATTGGACGAACATGGAAAACGTCGATTTCACGGAGCATTCACTGGTGGATTCTCCGCTGGGTTCGGTAATTCAGTTGGCACACCAGAAGGATGGACTCCAAGCTCGTTTAAGAGTTCACGAGCTGATAAAGCACAGTTTTCTGTGAGTCATATAACTTTAGTCAAAAGACTGCTATCTCTGTCTATTTCATAGATATTATTATTTTTCAAACACATACAGAATAAGAATGATAAACAAAACAGATGCTTTTAAATAATTGTAGTACAGTGGATACCCGGTAGTCCGACAAACATTTTGCAGGGCAGTGTTGAACTATCTAATTCGTCGGATTTTAGAGTACTGCCTAAGACTCCCTATAGTCCAGATTTTTTTTACAAAAGAGTACCTTGTAATCGGACAAATTACAGATTCAATGATAAGATTATTTACATATTATATACATATATATTTAAGGAGAATACTCGGTACATGATTCTCATTCGAATTATGTAAAAAAAATAGGTACTTAATTTTTGACCAAATTTCCGTATAAATAAATAAAGCGTGGACACGTTCCAAGTGTTCCAAGCGTGGACGCGTGTGGCGGCGTGCTGATACAACACACGCCGCCACACGTGTGTGTGTGCGTGTGTGTATACCTAATCTTTAGGGTGTTCACACGATGCGCAATTAATTACATAACTTTTGGTTAACTTTACTTAGAAGTTTATTAATATTTATGTTATATTAATTTTTATTTTGTCATATATGATCGTCAAATATCACGTCCTCAAGTATCGATAGTAATTCACCAGTCACCCTGTATACAAATTCAAATTCCAACAATCAGAATCAAAACAATACCCTACGCGTCAAGCACAATATGTAGTGATGGTGAGTAAAGTTGTAACTTGTTCAATCACGCATTAGCGAATACAAAATATGTATTCAATAACAAATAAAAGATCATGTCGGATTACAGGGGGTGCCGGATTAGACAGGGGCCGGATTACCGGGGGTCCACAGTATTTAATCCTCTCTATTGAATTTGTCATGAATGTATGTCTCAGTAACAAACTGAATGACAGCAACTAATGTAATAAAGTAATCTACCTGCATTACTCAACATCATATTATTATTTAACAATACCGACCAAGTATAAATAATCTAAGACTATTTATAACTCAAAAACGGCTATAGAGATATGTTTGGAAATTGGTGGAGAGAAAGCTTAGAATAAGGACATAGACATAGGATATTAAACTCTGTTCTATCGAAATAGAAATAAAAATTAATAAACTCCAATATCTGTTTATTTATGCCCTCTAGGGCAGAATAGAGTTCGCCCGGTCAACTATACATATATATCTAATTCCGTGATTACCGCGGCCGAAGTCGCAGATAAAAACTAGTACATAATAACATATTTGAATATAGTATTGTCGTAATTTCCAGAGCCAGAGACCAGAAGATTTTATGGATGAAGAAGATCGTTCCGAGTTTGGTATAGCACCTCGTAGCTTACAAGCCAACCAGGAGTTCACGGGACAGAAACGAACAAGGACTAGATATTATGACGGCACTATACCAGGTAATGGAATATAGTTCTCAATATATTCTTATATATTTATATGTGAATTGATTTAGTTAATGAGATAATTGATTGTAGACCTAAATAAAACTAATATTTTCAGATTACTACATTTATTATTATGTAGTTATTAATAAAAATCAGTTTTATTTCAGTGAATACTCACGAACGTTTAAAATCTCATCAATTATGGACTTATTTTGTTGAAGTAAATTGGAGTATTGACTGTTGTTATATATACATATAATTTGAAAGTTAGGATTAAATGGACTAATTAGTCACAAAAGACAATGTTTTCTCAATTAAATGAGAGCTTTAATAACTTTTATATGTCTTAATAGTATGAAATTATACTTAAATATTGAATTATGAACAAATTATTGAATAAATTTATATGTATATATAATTTCTTAGGAGTTCCAGTACTAGAGCAGCTTCTTCGACCAGTTCATGAAACAACTGCTGTAAAGATTCTAAGGAAAATGGGATGGAAGGAAGGTCAGGGGATCGGAGACAGAATAACTAAAACGGAAAAGAAGTTAGCAAACAAACAACACAAAGTCTATGGCTGTTATATGCCAGATGATATGAAACAGGTCTGGATTTATAATGGCTCATAGATTTATAGATTTATTTATTTTATATAAACATTTATTCCTATAAATATGCAGCGAAATAGTATTACCAATGTACAGAAACTCATGTTACATTGGTACTACTGAGTAACCGGAGTGGCTTTAATACTTTAGTATATACATTCAGGGGTCATCCATATATTATATCATACGATTTTTAGGACTTTTGAACCATACTTGTCACAGGCAGTTATAATCCGTTAGACTTAAGCTGAGCTTTGCATTTGTGTGAGTGAAAGTAAAAGTAAAGTTAGACAAAAAACATTTAGAATTAAATTTGATTGTATTTTAAATAGACACATAACATAAGTACTATAAAATGATCAAAACTTATAAAAGGCCAGATGGAAATATTATGAATAGTATTAAATAAAAAAATATTAATTAATAAAAATTTTGAAAAAAGTATACAAATTCTTCTTCACTTGACATTGTGTTTTCTACATTTGAGTTTGCTACCAGTACAAAGGATGAAGTGCGGAAGGTGCGGGGCGGAATAAAAGCAGAATAAACCGGTTCAAAACTAGAAAATAATTTTTCATTCAAAAATTTAACATCTCACCTACACTATCCGTTTGCACTCACACAAATGCAAAGCTCAGCTTAAATCAAACGCACTATACTTTTTTATAATCCCCTACTCCTAATGTGACGTCACAAAACTTCCCCCACATCTCTTGTCATACTTCGGTGATCTTTTTCTGCCTATTAACGTGTGACGTACTTTATGGAAGGTTTCTAATACTTCATCATCAAATTGAAAACTAATTAACTTTATTTTTCATACTATCACCTTGGTTCTAATATATTTAACATATCTCGTCTATATGTTTCCCAAAGTGGGTGTTATCAACCATTCTGAGCCCTGTAGGCTTAAAGGGGATAGTAAGACACCAAAAATAAAAATGGGGGTGTTGTGTACAAGTCAGGGTTGTGATTTGTAATTTCCTTTAGCTACGATAAGTTTATGGTTTTTCATGGTTTTTCAAAGTGCGCAGTACACAAAATAAGTTTGAGAACCCTTGACATAGACCAAGTAATATACATTGTAATGATAAGTTTATCTATAAGCTTTATAATTTATATAAAATTATGACGTCATCACTTCCAGGTCAACCAGGAGTCTGATAGCTCGGAATCGGAGTTCGAATACGGCCAGCTGTTCGCGCCGGATGATTATGAGCCTTATGTGCTAAAGAATAAGCACGATAAGTTCGGTCTGGGTTATGAAGGGCTGAGTCGACATTCTGTGTTGGGGAATATGGTGGGGGAATATGACGCTGGAGGATCCAAGAGCCACCTCCTCATGAGGGATAAGGGCAGGAAGGTGAGGGTTTATATATCTTCGTCTACCTGTCAATTTCCCAGCTATAGCCAGGGTCTGCGTTATATGTTGTGAATAGTTTTGGCTAATTGTTTTTCCGACCGGCCGCCTGCCTGACATCAACCCTCTTTTGGGAATGCATTAATCAGTGATGTCTAAATACTCTTAGAAAGTACATATGACTCGGAAAAATCACATTGGTACTTGCCCGGGTCAGGATCGAACCCGCGTCCTCGACAACGAGAGGCGGGCCCTTTAACCACTAGGCCACCACTGACCCATTACAAATTACAAATATGTATATACTAGTAATATTCAATTCAAGTAATTCTTGGAACGTACTTCAAAGGCAGCTATAGTAGGTTCAGTTTACAATCATATAAAATACTAAGAATTATTTATATGGATGTTATTTGTTTTATTTTATTAATATCAGGAGCTAATATTATGTTGTCATTTCAGTCAATAGACCTGCAATAGACCTGCAACATATTTAATGTATATTTTTCAGGTGTCAATTCGCGGCCAGGCGTTCGGTGTTGGCGCTTTCGAAGCTGATGATGAAGATATTTACAGTAGAGAGGATATGACGAACTATGATTACGAGATGGGACCGGAAGTGACGAAGAAGAAAGATGTCGCTAAACAACAGAATAATGTTAGTATATAATAATAATTTCTATATCCATGGTACCTATGCATAAGGGCCTATGTAGTAATTCAGCCATTTTCATTTTTTTTATTGAAACACTTCATAATAATACTTCATTTAAAAAATTGTATTTGTTGGTGGAAAGACTTAGTTTTTATAGTAAAAGAGCGTAAGTAACTCACATTTTAACATATAAGGGCTTATATAATATATATTATAAAATATATATATTTAAAAAGGTAGTTAGGTTTACAAAAAAGTTTATCAATCTTAAATGACGTACATGTATGTCATAGTTGCTATGCAGTGTCAAAAGCATCAGTTGTATGTACAAGATATATTGAAATCAAACTTAAAATGCCTGTACTGAAGAATTGTCATTTTGCATATTGGTCCTTATACACAGAAGCCATCGACATAAGCCTTGTTGTGGGTTTAACAATTCAACAAACTCCTTAAAAGGCGTATCTTTTTGCTAATTTTGCGAGAAACATTTTGTTATTTTGTATGTAAAAAGATAGAACATACGTATATTAAATACATTTCCAGATGGCAGCACTAATTGTATAATAATTCCAGGTGCTTCAAGGCTTTGTTAAGTCTAAAGCTAAACTACCCTCAATTGCTTCCTACCCTCCGCCGACTTTACCGAGGGGTTATGTCCCTACAACAAGAAAATCGAGATTCGACGAAAGTATTACTCCGCAGAGGGACCAAGGTAATATAATTTGCGAAAACAGAAATAATACTAATGTTTTCCGGATTTACTACGTGTATTTTATTTTTATAAACTATGTACATAGCCCCGACGTGATCATGTCACGTGAATCTAACCAAAACCTAGTAAATTTTTTTTATAAACGCCTAGGAAATCCGAAAAACATTAGTATCATTTCAATGTATACTCGCGAAAATCTAAGATCATAAAAGTAGTAACTGTAGAAATAACTAAAATTATATAAAAATCATTGGGCACAAAATTATTATAAGTTATAATTTTTAGGTCTCGGACGACATGAATTAACAGCAGCCGCTAGAGGAGCTCTTTTAGGAGAAAAACCTTTAAACAGCACAGAAAATATACAAAATAAGGACACTGAACAACAAAACACAGCTAATTCAACCAAAATATTAATCAAAGACATGACAATTCCACAAGAAACACAAGAATTGAACTTCATATCAATAAAAGATACAAATAAAACTAATTTAAAGGTTTTCAAGCCGTTTTCCAGCGATCCTCAGAAGCAATTGAGATATGAGAGGTATCTAGAAATGAAGCCAGAAAGAGATAGCGCTAATGATAGATTGTCTCAGTGGGAAAGAGACAGAGAGATGGCTGAGTTTGAACAAGCTGCGAAACTTTATAAGCCATTGACTGGCATTATGGGCGACAGGTATATAAAAAAACTCATAATCACTAATATTTTCAAATATAACTAGCTAGCTTTCCAATAAAAATAGGGGTTGGCGATAAAAAAGTATTTAGAATTTAGGGTTCTAGGTATTTTTTAAAGTGACAATAAAAATATAAAGAAATTAAAAATATGTCTAAAATTTAAAAAAATGTTAAGGGTAAACAACCCTTATGAAAGGGGTATGAAAGATAAATGTTTACCGATTCTCAGACCTAGTCAATATGCTAACAAAATTTCATGAAAATCGGTCAAGCTGTTTCGGAGGATTACGGGAACGAACATTGTGACATGAGAATTTTATATATAAGATTACGTTCAATTTATAGTAATTAATTTATATGCAAGCAAATTTGATATAGTAACTATTATTACATAATATACAGGGTGAATGGTGAATTACTATCGATATTTGAGGACGTGATTTGTGAAGATCATATATGACAAAATAAAAATTAATATAACATAAATATTAATAAACTTCTAAGTAAAGTTAACCAAAAGTTATGTAATTAATTACGCATCGTATGAACACCCTACAGATTAGGTATACACACACACTCACACAGACGCGGCGGCGGCGTAGTGTTGTATCAGCACGGCGCCGCACGCGTCCACACTTGGAACACTTGGAACGTGTCAACACTTTATTTATTTATACGGAAATTTTGTTAAAAATTAAGTACCTATTTTTTTTACATAATTCGAATGAGAATCATGTACCGAGTATCCTCCTTAAATATTGATAGTAATTCACCAGTCACCCTGTATAGTAATGATTATTAAATAAAACTAATATTTCAGATTCACCCACGCGTCTGAACCTGACGAAGCTTTGAATCCTTTGTGTGCGGTCGCAAAAAGTTCCATCAATTACGGCCTAGCAACTCCCGAAATGATTGAGGCAGCGAAAAAGGGAGCATATGGGGTCATGACACGAAAAGAAGTGTCATGGCGGCCGGAAACGCTGGTCTGTAAAAGATTCAATGTACCGGAAATTGGTGGCAGGTATGAACTTGTTATATATATTATACCAATAATTATTATAATAATAAATAGTTCTCATTATTGGTAGGAATAAAGGAAACTAATATTTTTTTGGATTAATATACGCATTATTTTATGGTTTTTAAACTACATACTCCCAACATTTCACAATGCAATTCTCATCTCGTCTGTCCGTGATCACGGTTGCTGTAAAGTAACCGAAACGAAAAGATGTAGTAATCTGAAAAATATTAGTTTCATTTAGATGAATATTCGCGAAATTCACAGATGTCATTATTAGTAGTAATAATTTATCATGCAAATATTTGAAAAATATATTATATGCTTAAAGAATATATGAATTGATAGTATATGCATATGCAGTGCATGCAAATATGCAATGACTTTGTTCTTTGTCCCCAGACTTGAAGAATCGAAAGATGATAAGCCAAAAGTATCATATTCAATATTCTCATACATGGAAACATCTGTTCATGATAAAGAGAGTTTCACTAAAGAACAAACGAAATTCTCAGGATCCAAATCTTTAAATTCCTCAAACATAGAAAACAAAACCAAGAAACCCGATAAAGATGAAGAAAAACAAGAAAATGTGAACAATGAAAAAAATCCAACAAAAAGATTGACGGTCGCGGAACTATTTATAAAAGAATCTGAAAAAGATTTGATCGAAAAAGACAAAGAGGTGGCTCATACTATCGAGAAGTTTGATAAAATCGATTTGTACAAATCGATATTTCTCAGCGACAGTGAGGACGAAGGAATCGATAAAAATGATTCGAATGATGCAACGAAAAATATCGAAAGAAATAACTCACCGCCTAGAGGAATCTTCGCTAATATAGATTTTGATGAATTAAACGCTTGGAGACGAAACACAAATAAACAGACAGACAAAGAAACAAAACAAAACCAAGAAACAAATAACAAAGAACTTACTAAAGATACAAATAGTGACGACAAACATGAAGACAAAGTTAACGAATTAATGTACGGACCGAAGATTCCAGAAAACTTGCAAAAAAGATTAGAAGTCCCACAAAAAGATAACTTTAAACCCGTTTATAGAAGCAAAGATAAAAGGGATGAGTCTTCATCGAGCTCGGAATCCTGGGTCGAGGCGGACAAACAAAAGAAACAAAAGAAAAAGAAAAGCAAGAAACAAAAGTCTAAACACAAGAAGAAACATAAAAAGAAAGATAGATAAATATATATGAAAAACATGTTGTTTTATTTACACCCAAACTATTATCGTATTAGTTTACGTTATGAAATTCTTACATTAAAAGAACACGTAAAAGTATACGTAGGCGTGACGTTTGAACAAAACAGTCGAAATCGTGCGCAGTTTATAAATATTAGTGAAATAATATTACACAATAACTTACGAGTGGGCGTCGGGAGTTTCAAGGTCACAGTAATGGCGGGAATAGTGTTTACTATGCTATTTTGTTCTTATGCGTGCGTAGTGCGTGATAGATAAATGTAACCCAAATTTTAGTACATTTTCTTTGTTAGTAGCCGCGCAGTCTGTGGATGCGTGATTTTCATACAATTCTCTTGTTTTCCTCAAGGCTCTACAGCCGAGTGGAAAATAACGTACATTACCGTTTTTGTTGCAAGATTATATTGTTAGCTTTCTGCGAATAGGTAATGAATATGTCACGTTCCCTGAAATTCCTAGTTATCAATAACATTATGGAGCAATGGAAATATATTTGTAGCGTATGTTAGACAAGGATGAAACATAAATTACCGTGGAAAAGAGATAGTAATATATAATGATAGAGGAGGGAAAGAGACGCCTAGAAAACAGTTACAACAACATCTAATGTTCCCTTCGTGATTGGACGCATGCGTCATAAGGTGATGCCAGGGTCAGACTAGGAAAAAATCGAATTAAAATCATTAATATTCATAGTAGAATAACACAAAGAGTTAAATTTACGAAAATTATATCTATTATCAATCCAGACCTCATTGGAATAAATTTATATAATTGTATTTATTATATTAAGCATTAACAAGAAAAAGAGAATCAGACACTAATGGTTTGAAAACAAAAAGAAATAGATCTTAATTTAAATCAAAGTATAGGAGATTCTAAAAATTATATTACACGTTTTAAAAAAGTACACAAGAATGTTTTCTTGTTTCTAATGAAAAACATTAATAGTTTTCGTATTGCAAAAACACAGGCGAAATGCGGCCCTGGCAGAATACAATCAGCTGTTTGTAATGACAGTTCCTCTGACAAATACAAAATGGTTGAAAACTAAAGTTGGCAAACAAAGAAAGACAGCGTAAAAGAGCTATAGGACATCAAAAAATTGTTTTATTAAGTGAAAGTTAGTTAGTTTAGTGTGTAATACGTGTTTTGTGCATTATGTTGGATTTAGAAATAGTGCCAGAGCGCTCCCTTGGCTGCGATGCCTGGGAGTTTGTGCTGGGTAAGCTTATGTTTATATACGTCAAGATTTTGCGTTGTATTTCTAAAAGACTTTCTTACGCAATGTGCATTAAATATGACACTAAAGCTCGGCTGTATGCACCGTGCGATGGTCCCCATCGATTTTTTTTTAAACTCTTTGTCTTCAGCCAGTGTTTATTTTTTTTTAAACTTGACCATGAAAAGCAAAGGTCTTGTCATGTTTATATATTTCCATCGCATTGTTTACATAATGTCATTAAAATATTATCATAAAAAAATCGTAATTATCCATTCACTTGTAATAACTATAATATAATTGGTAAATAGAAGAAAAACAACTTATTTAGAATACCTTTTTCTCTGTTTCTTTGGAATCTTGACAACTAACGATTTTTGTGGGTAGTAACCAAGCAAAAAAAATCGTAGCTACATATTTTTCTTAAGACACCTAAATAAAATTAGATAGAATATATTACACAATATTTAATAATTCTTCTTAATTTATATTCTATTAATTAATAAAATGTTTAATTTATTTCTGCATCTGTTTAAGAGTTATATGTAAGAATTTAATTATGGATATATAAAAACATTAATTAAGAATCATTATTAAAAACCTTGAATAAATTAATTAATAAGTAAAATAATAACTACAGTTTTATTTTATTTTACTAATATTAAATATTAATATCACTCACATATTTGGTATAACTTTAGTAGCTACTATTTGTATTTTTTAAATATATGTAGAATTATAAATTCCATTACAAATTATTTTGTAAGTAAAGATTAAAAATGCAAAACATATATACAAGAAATATAAAAGTTTTGAACTTTGTCATTTAATCATATAAGGATAGCATTTTATTTTACATATATATATGCTTCCATTATAGCTAAGTCTTTAACTAACTTATTTGTCCGAGCATCACAGTTTCATGTGGTACAAATCTCATGAGGCTTCAATAAGTTGAAGGTCACAGATTATTTAGTTAGTATCCTAGCCCCTAACTTTGGTCAATTTGGGTGGGCCAAATACCCCATCCTCACTTTAATCGAAGTCTGAACTTAATAATTCCCAAAAAAAGGTTAAAATATATAATTTTTTAAATTTACCAATAAGGTCACACCAAATAGTTTATAATACACATGATAAACATAATCACAACCTTGATACTGAAAATATTGTAAACAAGAAATGTTTTTTTACATATACAATCTTATCTTGAGTATCAAAACTAGGAGTCATTGTAATATTCTAAATAGACATAAAGATTGTTAGGAGAAGTTATTATTAATAGTTATTTTCCCAAAGAGAGTTGATGTCAGGCAGTCGGTCATAAAAACAATTAGCCAAAAATATTTACAAAATGTAAGGCAGACCCTGGCTAAAGCTGGGAAATTGTCAGCTAGAATAAGTTATTATATGGGAATAAATTAGTTTTACATCAAAACTATAGCATAATAAGTATTCCCAATATATCATTATATGTAGCCATTTCTTTTTTTTTCAAATCTTTCTTTTGGACCATCTAAGATCTTGGATCATACTGCCTATTCGATAATATTGTTGCCATTATGTACAAATTTAATTAAAATTGCTATTAACAAATATATTACAAATTTGATATTTAATATACATATATGTGTTCTAAATAAAATTTATTAATGATTTCCATTTGAATTAAAGTTCTAATTCATGCAGTACATAATTATGAAGACAAGTAATTGTTTGTATATTTCAGTCTAATTAAATTTATGAATATATATAATTCTGTTATCTCAGTAATAATTAAAACATTGTTACAGCTATGATAAAATAATATTTTGTCTATTGGCTCATTTGTGACTATAATCTTTGAAGTGGCTGCACCAATTTTTATAGAATTTTCACTATTAAATAACTAAAGTAAAAAGAAGTGACGAGTGGTACATTTTTACTAATATAAATCGAAAACAAAACTATTTCTAATAATTTAAATCGTGGGTCAAATGATAAGGTTTAAAATACATCAAAACAAAGAATTGTATTAATTTTGTAAAAATAAAAATAATAATAAGTTTTTTTTCTATCTAATAAATCAGTAACTATCTATACAGTGACAGACAGACAGACATTTGATAAGTTTTAATTATGAAAACAGTTTTAATATGAAACTAAATTAATGAAAATATATTATGTAGGTATACAAATTAATTTGTTATAATATTTGTAATACTCAAAAGACTTTTGCATCCGCTCGAGAATTATATCGCAAGAAATATTCTGCAATAAAAATTACGTTTTAGTTTTTATAACACACCTGTTTCAGTAACTTAATTAAATAAAACTAAATATTTCGCGTAAACATGTTTCTTATTACAATATTGATACTTATTTCTTATGGATACTTCGTTAAAAGAATTGAAAATTAATTGGAGGTCTGCTCGAAAATATATATATATTTTTTAATATTACAAAATACGTCTATATATAAGAATAAAATTGTAAAAAACATATTGTTATTGTAATTTTTATCTAATGACGTAATAATTGTGGTTGTCAACAATTTTTTTATTATTATGAATTACCAATAGCTTAGAGACCAAAGAGTTATTATAAAAAAAGGATAGTTAATTTAAAATAAAGTTGATAGTTTGTGTTTAAAGAAAATTTAAATTGTTATAGCACGTACTTTTGATATTTCAACACTTGTTGATCACGCCATATACAGGGTGACTGGTGAATTACTATCAATATTTAAGGAGAATACTCGGTACATGATTCTCATTCGAATTATGTAAAAAAAACAGGCACTTAATTTTTGACAAAATTTCTGTATAAATAAGTAAAGTGTTGACACGTTCCAAGTGTTCAAGTGTGGACGCGTGCTTCGGCGTGCTGATACAACACTACGTCGCGACACGCGTATGTGTGAGTGTGAGTGTATACCTAATCTGTAGGGTGTTCACACGATGCGTAATTAATTACATAACTTTTGGTTAACTTTACTTAGAAGTTTATTAATATTTATGTTATATTAATTTTTATTTTGTCATATACGATCGTCAAATATCATGTCCTCAAATATCGATAGTAATTCACCAGTCACCCTGTATATTTATTTAATCTAAATGTCATACGTATATTGAAGAAGAATATTTGTAAATTAAAAACCTCTTTATTCATAGTTGCTTAATGAAAAGGTTTTAAATGTAAAGTCAATCAGCTGTCGTGTGCATTGACCCGCCATTACTACAAGCAACGTTCTATATAATCTATAATCGATTATCCGTTACTCGATACATTTGAATACATATTTGTTTTATACCAATAAACGCTATATATTATTTTAATTTCGATAACTATATCAGTATATAATAATATTTTATTTATAATACATTAGTTATTTTTGTTCTCGGTTCATATAAAAATCAATTTCAATCGGTTACGATCAAGAATAGCCCGCCTGAAAAAGTTATAAATGTCACATTGTGACGGGCTAACAGAATAAAAATATATAAAACCTGTTTTCTCTTACAGTTAATAAAGAGATATTTTTTTTTGTTTTATTTAATGTGTTACCAATATATTGTGATTAAAAATATTTCGTTTGTATTATGGTTTAACTAGAGCAATTTGCTTTGGTAATTTATATTAAACACACTAGTATATTTACTTAAATAACGTAAATATTTACATATTAGATTAGATTACTCCAGATTATAAGAATTACGTATCCTATTTTTAGTATGGTATTTTGTATTAGTGCTTATATATATTGTTTTCTTCAAAATAACGGTCAAATTTTCATAAATTTGGAATGAACTATTTGAATTCGATTTTAATAACTTTAAATGTAACAAAAATAAATAATTCTATATACTTTTATGTATTGAATTATTGGCATCTTTCCTTTTCTTCACGTAGTGTAATGCCGCTTAAATACAACTACATATAAAAACTATAAATCTTATAATTTATATTTTATTAGAATTTTTATTGCATTCTTTATTATAAAGCTGATAAAAAATCTTTTGTGTTTATTAAAAACAAAATATCTAATATATTAATTAGTATATAAATGAATATTTAAGGCACATTAACTGATTTCACTTATTCTCGTTTTATTTTTACAGTCAAGTAATGTCAGCTGTAGTGCCAGTACAGAAAAAAAATGTTTTATCAAAGCCCCAGTTTTTAGGGGAAAATATATGAGTGACATTTGGAATTTATAATGTACTAGCATTCCGCCCGCAGCTTCGCCCTCGTGGAGTTCGGTTATATCGCATTTCCAAGAGAACCTTTCAAAAGTCTGGGATAAAAACTATCCTATGTTCTTTCTCAAGGTTAACTCTATCTCTGTACCAAATTTCATTAAAATCAGTTCGGTGGTTTAGGCGTGAAAGCGTAACAGACAGACAGAGTTACTTTAGCATTCATAATATTAGTAGGGATGAAAAATTATATATATACAAAGTTATTGTTAATTTCCTTAATTACAAGTTCATTTATTTGAAATATATTTTATTTGTAGTATTAATTGGTTTCGCTTCACAGACAATGGGTCGGTGATGAATCAAGCTGTTTATAAAATAATAAATTTAATATAAATAATGTAGTACGTTTCTTTATCATGTTGACGACGTATTAACTATATATAATTATGTACATACAAGTTGATTCCTGTAACTATGTGAGAAAATATATACATATATGTTACTTGGTCATCTCTGTATGATCGCGTCATTGTACCAAAAACTTTTACAAAGGTTTTCATGTATAAAATTACTTCCATATGTTATCCATTTGATCTGATTTTGAAAATTTATAAGTGTGGGTATTGTTTGAAACAATTTCGCATTTAAAAAGACAGAGAAGTAGAAGGGGGATAGAGATAGAAAGAGTGCCCGAACCACAGATGGTCAGATAATTAAGAATTTAAAATAATACACGATTAATAAGTACGGATATAGTTACAAATAATCTTTGACATCACTATACAGGGTGACTGGTGAATTACTATCGATACCTGAGGACGTGATATTTGACGATCGTATATGACAAAATAAAAATTAATATAACATAAATATTAATAAACTTCTGAGTAAAGTTAACCAAAAGTTATGTAATTAATTACGCATCGTATGAACACCCTACAGATTAGGTATACACACACACACACACACACACGCGTGCGGCGGCGTGATGTTGTATCAGCACGCCGCCGCACGCGTCCACACTTGGAACACTTGGAACGTGTCAACACTTTATTTATTTATACGGAAATTTTGTCAAAAATTGCCTATTTTTTTTACATAATTCGAATGAGAATCATGTACCGAGTATTCTCCTTAAATATTGATAGTAATTCACCAGTCACCCTGTATATTTATTTTTTTCAAATAAATTACGCCCAAACATGTTTACAACCTCTGTTACCGTTACTCGAAGGTTTATAAATTTTAAATTGAATTTTATTTGTTATCGGAATTTTCCATACCTTTGTTTATACTGTCAGATACTTTGAAACCTTTGTTTGTACCCTACCAACAATTTAACATCCTTTGTTAACATCAACACGTTTTAAAACTTTATCACAAACTTCAGCTATTTCCCAACCTTTGTTCCTAACCGCAGCTTTATTCCTTTGTTTGATTTTTCTTATATTTTTTTACACGTTTACATAATCTCGTCTCAAAATATACTTTATAATGACTAATTTCAGACAATTATACCATTTCTATATACATTACTTACTCTTTGTGTAGTTACAGTTAAAGTGTTAACACTTTAGATAAACGATTAAATAATATAGTGGTTTCTGTAAACAAGATAACTGTTGGCAAGTTTAACTGTCCTATATTTAATATCAAGTTAAATTCTTAGTAGCTTCAGTTTTGCTGCAATTTTTGTTGTGCTAAAGGTAATAAACTAGTAGACGGTCTTCTTGGTGGAGGTAGTTACCTTTACCTATAGACATTCGGGGAATATTTCTGCGCATGCGTTGCGATCTTAGATTGGGGAAGAGGGAAAGAGTGGGGATGAGAAAAGGGTGGGAAAGGGATAGGAGAATCAACTTAATTAAAAACTTTTCATTACATAAGTTTTATTATTGTATGTATATTAAATTAGAAGTGTCTTAATGTATATCGGATTTATTACAAATTCATTGTTTTAAAACAGAGAGACACCAGTTTCGCTGACGTTACAAATGTCACTTCTTCTAGTACGGTCCATGATATTTTAAAATGAAACTTCAATTGTTCTTAATGTTCCTGTATTTCTCAAAGATTCTTCATAATAACATACTTCAATGATACGCACTCACTGAAACTCTGAATTCTCAATTCTGGAGTCTCAATTCTGCCGTCGTGCATCCAGACGTCATATTTATAACAAGATTCAAACATAGTTCTATTCTCCTTCGATTTCGTTTTACTTTTAACAATAATCATAAATACTAATGAGGTTTAATAATAATTGATGGCAGCCTCTAATTATTTTCAAGTCGCATCCGTTATTAAAGCTGGTAGCGCCGATATATATAACTGTTTATAATATGTATGTTTGTCTTTATATTCCAGGTATGCATTTCTCTCAAGCGGTTTCCATTATCCAGAGCCAAGTGGGAACGATTCGTGGTGTCCAAGTGTTATATAGCGACCAGGTAAAGAATTACATAAGTATATGTATTTATATATACGTAATTATTATAAGGTAGTTAATTTTTATGTACAAAAAACTTTTCGGAGTATATGCCATCGTTTAAAGTAATTATTACAAAAAGAAAAATATTTTAAGTATTAAAGAAATAATATTCTTCCATTTAATTATATTTATCTGTTATTTATAAATTTTCAACCGTTTATTCCAGACGAACAGTTTGAACTTATTTCCGATTGAGTAAAAAGTTATTTTGTTCCCACGAATACTTAAGTTTATATTCTATCTGCTTCCCGTTTCATCAAAGACACATTTTGTGTAAAGATTTTTGATTTACATCTTCCATTAATCCAAAAAGAATTGCATTGTATTAACTGTTTATTAAACTATTAATGAAATATAAAATGACCTAAAAATTCAAAGGTTGACAGTTTTGGCATATATTAATCAAGTAGGAAATTAATTCATAATAATTACAAAAATGTATAGATTAAAAACCTAAGTAGTTTCCTGTACACTTACCACAAGTTCACGTCGTTGCACTACATACAGAGTGTATGTAGCTTTACATTATTAATGATATATAAGACAAGCGAGTATTCAATGAAATAAAACTCATATTTTTATATTTATTACGCGTTTTTTATATTATTTTTTAACTACATACTCCCACACATACACTCACATCTCGTCTGTCCGTGATCAGGGTCGCTGCAAAGTAACCGAAAAGTCTGGAGTATGTAGTTAAAATAATAAGAAAATAGTTTTATTTCAATTTTCATTATTAATTTCAGCAAATTATTCCATCTGGTTATGATTCGTTTATAATATGTCCATGCTACTTGTAGTAAAGCTTTTAATTTAATCCTATAGTAACACAATATGAATACATATTTCCGTCGATTACGAATTCTTACTTTATAATTGAAGCTGCAAGCCTTTCTATTAGAGCGATATAACCTTCATACTAAAAAAAAAACTTGCATCGAATATGAATTTTATCTTACAACAAGTTTAAAAGATACTATTTCTTTTATCTTTTCAGATAAAGTAATAAAATATAATTTCAATCGAATATTTGTTGTCTTGAAATCTTTTAAATCTTAATCGTAGTACATAGTAAATTATAAAGAGAAGGGTTTCTCAAGGTGTCATTTAAGATCCACTATTGCTTTTTAAATACAAAACTATTTCATGTATCAAAAATTATACAATAGATATATTATACAAATTGACGCGTCTCAAAATAGTAACAGATATATATATATATAAGTAACATATGTAGTATATAATGGAATAAGTTAATAGAAAATTAAAATTACACATAGAAACAGTCACTAGAATTTCTATTTGGGTCGTATATATATTTTTCTTACTTTTAACAATAAATGTATTTTAATGAAATATAGATATAAGAAAATTTGATAAATTACATAATGTATGTAATAAAATACACTATAAATTTAAATAATGTAACACTATTAAATAATTTTCGTAAAACAAATGCGTTTAAAAATTTCATTCAGATAGAACTTCATTTTTCAGTAATTAATAATCAATTATTTATTAATAGAATATAATTTAATTAAAATAAATGTAAATTTCGTAAGTCGACATATTTCCTTATCCTACTAATATTATAATTGCGAAAGTTTGTGTATGTTTGTTACTTCTTCACGCTTAAACGATTTTGATAAAATTTTGTATACAGGAAGCTGATCTAGGAATAACATATAGGCTACTTTATTTCCCGGAAATCCCGGTAACACCGCAGGGCGCAGTTAGTATAGCTATAACTTTAAAACCATATAATTATTTTGTTTCAGAACCCACTGTCCGTGGACCTAGTCATAAACATGCCCCAGGATGGTATCCGGTTGATATTCGACCCGGTAGCTCAGAGGCTGAAGATTATAGAGATATATAATATGAAATTAGTTAAGCTTAGGTATAGGTAAGTGACTTATAATGCACTTATAATATGTGAGTAAGTTAAGTGTACGTAACGTAAGTATATTAAGCTTCTTCATATGAGAAGAGGCCTTACAGCAGTGGGCTCTGATAGGCTGATGATGATGAAGTATAAGAAGGTAGTTTTAGTGCATACAACAATTTGGTCTATTATCACTGATTAATACTGATTCCTAAAGAGGGTTGATGTCAGGCAGACGGCCGGTCGTAAAAACAATTAGCCAAAACTCAAGGCAGACCCTGGCTATAGCTGGGAAATTGGAAGGTAGAAGAAGTAGAACAATTTACTCTATATGTAAAATTAAATCTTTGGAGACTTAGGAACCATTTTCTTATTAATATAATGTGCTGGGAGTTTGATATAATAAAGATATTGTTTATTACTTCAGACAAATAAAAACCGACTAGGATGTAGACGTAAAGATATTAAAAGAGTTCATTGACCTTTCTTTTTGATTATGATTAAAAAATATTAGTGAGACATAAATAAACAGAAGGTTTGACCCGTCTTTTGCGATATAATTTTCAATTTGTAGGAATGTTTGTTTTTTAAAGAAATATATACCATATAATTATTTAATAATATTCCTCAGACTTCCAAATTTTTGCTAAAACTAACGATAACATATCTTTAACCTTTGATGTTTCCCTCAACATTAATTAAAAAAGGCCGTTAACTTTGTAGTTGAAAAACTTCTAATCTATTAAAATATCATGTTGTTTTACAATATACTAGTTTTATACCGTGACTTCACCCTTTATTTTTCAATGGGATATTGTAAGTTGTCATAGTTTAAGTTTTCACTTCAAACGAGGCGTTTCTCGTTTCTCGTTCTACAATATCTTTTATTCAAAAACTGTTAACTACCACATGTACTGTAAAAATGCCAACACGGACTAAGGATACGAGTTCATTGCTATAGCAGGAAAATAGTTTTGTTTTTATTTGCAAACAGACCAACAACTTATAATTAGGAATACTTATTAACTTTTCGTTAATAATACAATTAATAATACTTCATTTTTTTGTGAAATTATCTTAGTTTCACTTATGAACTTATTTTAATGACACAGTTGGTACTTGGTTAAACAAGTTTTAATTATACCCTTTATTGATATGAGATTACAGCTGTTCATTTTTTCAATGTTGAAACACTTTTTTTTCAATCAATATCTTTGATTTTCGTTTTTCCTTTATTGTTGAGCCGCCTTAAATATTATTTGACAAAAAGTTTAGTATGTTTTCTGTAGTGACCGTCTGCGCCATCTCGTGACGAGTAGACGAAACTATTACCTATACTTTTATTACTATATTTAACTTTTGTAAACAAGTAGAAATATAATCGAGAATGTTCTGGAATGTTCTAGTAATCGGATTAGTGCGTATGAAAGGACTGCAAGGTCGGTTTTGACCTTTAAGTCAGACTTTTGAAAGCGACATACAAGCTGTATTACCTGCGATCTACGATAATAATGAACACAATATTTGTGTTTTCTGTTCTATACCGTGTTAATATTGCCTTTCAAACCCTAGCTCGTAACAATATATTCCATAAATGATAAAATAAATATCGAAGAATGTATAAAACATTTGAGAAAACATTTTTGTCATTCGTTTAAATATAAAAGTATTCCGTAATTTTTACTGCTAAGAGACCAATTACCAATAGATTAAAAGTAGATATTTTATTTTAATATTCCAGAAGTCCCAGGTTCTATGCCAGTTGGTATCGATGCATTAACTCTATACTTTTTATTTACATTTTACTATTCTCATACAACACTCCGTATATGTACATCAAAATCAAGTACTAATTTATAGTGTCATTGAAAACTATATCGTATGAGTATATTGATAAGGCTCATATTTCAGTGGTATGTCATTCAACTCCCCGGAGATAACGCCATCTATCGAGCAAGTGGAGCATTGCTTCGGAGCGACTCATCCCGGGCTGTACGACAGTCAGAGACATCTGTTCGCGTTAAACTTCAGAGGCCTGACGTTTTATTTCCCCGTCGATAGTAAATTTGAGGTGAGTTTTATTTATATTTTAAATATTTTTACCCTTTTACTCGCTAAAATCCACAAAAATAATGAGTTTTTTCAAGACACAATAATATATATTATATCTATGATCTGCTAGTAGCTTCTTACAAGCTAATTGGAACACGAATTTAATATAGAAGGATATTTAAAATTTTAGCATATGGTTGAATAATAAACACATTGTTTTTATTCAGTTTCGAAACAATGTGAGGAAAAATAAGAGGTGTTCTATTAAAATGATAATGACTTAATAATAATCCGGTTTGACTAATTAATTATCGTAATAAATGGCCCATTGTACTTGTTTTTAATTGTAATACATATATTCGACTCTGAAAACTTGTTCTCATCTATTCCAAAAGTCTAATAACTTTTTTCCTAATTCCAGTATTTCAATATTCCAGAATTCCAATCGTCATATACCATAATTTAAATGTAATGCTAGTTGTATCCTAGATCAAAGTTTTTAAACTATTAAATCCTCACTTTTTTGGTCTTTTGCTTGTTTAAGGCTCCTCCTTTCCTTTAAGTCCCACTTCTCCTTTTCCATCTACCAAAAATTACAATAGTCATTAATTTCCTTTGCCCAGAAAATACATTTTTTTCTATACTAGATATCTAACTAGACCAAAACTTGGGCATAAATATAGTATAACTTGGACTATTTAATTTTCTATCACCTTTCATGCTAATATAACTTTATTTTATCATAATATATGTTTATTACAGCCGGGCTACGCACACGGCCTCGGCTCACTCCAGTTCCCTAACGGCGGTTCGCCCGTCGTTTCGAGAACAACCATATACTATGGATCACAGCATCAGGTACACTTTATCAACCTGTAGCTCACTACTTACATAAATATATCAAGTAAATTATTTTTTTAGAATAATCCAATAAATTATATAGGGTGGCAACCGAAAGTTCCAGAAAAACTACGACACTTATGTACTTATACGTATATTAAAATAAGAATTACATATTAAAACTTATAACCTAAGTCTGTGGTGGCCTAGTGATCAAAAGTCCCGCCTCTCATGTATGAGGGCGCGGGTTCGATCCTGGCAAGTACCAATGTAAATTTTCCGAGTCATATGTAGTACTTTCTTAGAGTATTCAGACATCACTGATTAATGCATTCCAAAAGAGTTGTGATGTCAGGCAGGCGGCCGGTAGTAAAAACAATTAGCCAAAACTATTCACAGCATGCATGGCAGACCCTGGCTAAAGCTGGGAAAATTGCCAGGTAGAAGAAGAATTTAAACCTTCCTATAACCTATAACCTTCACCTAAGACTACATGATTGTCCCGATGTTATGATAGCAATACCATTCCATATCTTGTTTGGTATCAGGAATCTTCTGGTTCACACGACTTGGTGTTCGTTCCGCGGAGTCAGCGGCGTCATTATACATTTTATCCATACAACGATGTTGCCCCGGCGATGTTTTTAATAAATACCATGTTCTAGTGCTATTTTTTTTTTGGTTGTCCATAGTTGAGCCGGTCAGCCAGCGGTCGCTGCACGGCCCCACTGGCAGAGCTGCCGCTGTCATGTTACAGACACCAGCTTCATCTGCGAAGATGCGACGTACTAAGGACACCTTCAGCGACATTAGGACTCCGCCTGCACATATACACGGAGGGTAATAACAATTATACGAATAAAAAACTTGATTTTATTACATAGTAATTTTTGGCCGCGACTTTGTCCATTAACTTAGAAATAGTAATATATGTATAGCTGATGAGAGAATACTGCCCTAAAGGCCGTTTATAATCAGATATTGGAGTTTATTATGTTTATAAATCTCCTTGTATATAACAGAATTAAATATCCTATGTCCGTTTCCTGGTTCTAAGCTATCTTTCTACCAATTTCCAACCATATCCTTACTGTCGTTCTTAAGATATAAATAGTGTAACTAACACAAATTTCTTTTATATATATAGATATGAGATGCCAAAATATAACATTGACAAAATTCATAGTTGATGATGTCATACCATACACTCGTGATATATAACCCAAGCTAAACATTACCATCCCATATTATGCTCAAGCATTTTATCATATAATCTTCTCATACTAAGTCATACTTAATGACGTCATATGATACTATCGCGTTATATAACCCAAGCTAAACATTTTCATCCAAGTATAATAAGCGTATAATCTCAGGTACTAGATCTGGCGACCCAGCTTCTGCCAGGCGGCGCGTGGTTCGTTTCGGTGATAGTTGCCAGGCTGTGTCGCGAGCCCTGGCGGCGCCTGCCCGTCTGTACTACAAGGCAGATGATAAGATGCGCATACACAGACCGACCGCCAGACGCCGCCCGCCGCCAGCTTCTGATTACTTCTTCAATTACTTCACTCTTGGATTGGTATGAAACTACCCTCGTATAGAATTTTCTGTCGTTTTGTTTAAGTTAAGGGCACCTGATGAACGGTTTAAGCAGCTATAGTCAATTTGATGTTGAAGTAAATCTTTTCTATAATATGCTAGAATGACTAATACTTATGTATTATTAGTTCGTCTTTAAGTATATTTTGGTATATTTTGAATCTATTCATTATAGATACAGCCATTAAATAATTACAATAAAAAGTACGGACTGTTTTGTCGACATTTGATATATTCCAAATTTCTTCACTATTTATAGACTATAGTCTATAATTATAATTAAATCAGGGTTTTCAGTAAGCATTTATTTTAACATGACAGCAAGTTAGTCTAATTTGACGTTCCTAATGTCAATGTCACTGTCACTATTGTATTTTACACATGTTTAATCTATTCTGATCTGATTTTTTTTATTATCTGTAGGACGTGTTATTCGACGCCCGCACGCACCAGGTGAAGAAGTTCATTCTCCACACAAACTACCCCGGACACTACAACTTCAATATGTACCACAGATGCGAATTTGAACTCAATGTGCAGCCGGACAAGTTTGTATTTAGATTGTTATGAGTTTAAGCGTTTTTTTGTTGCGTTTTTTACGTTCTTTAATTATTTATACCACCAAATATGTAGTGATGAAACTGATAATAATCGTCACGAAAAACTGGTTGTAAAATGGAATCTTTTAAGATCTTAGTTGTGAGGAATAAGTATTCAATCGACATAACATTAAAGACAGTATAGATATGAATAAATCCTTTGTTACAGTATATTAAATTTATCCTAGCAAATAAAGAGAGTATATTCTTTTATATAAAGTTATTAACAGAAGCTTAGTAAAACCGTATTAAGAAATACTCAAAGTAATTCGATTCACAAGACGAAATTAACATCTGAAACTAAAAAAGCTGATTATTTCGTACAAAGAAATCCTCCAAATTCGATATCCCAACATTAGCCATTAATTCTAACAACAATATCTCACTAAATCAATCTCCCCCAAAAACCTAAGGAACATTTCTAACAGTCTTCCAAGTGTAATCGTAGTAAACATCTAATCTGATATTTCTATAGATGCGAGTCGAACACACTAGTTGAGTCCCGCGGCGCCGTCTGCATCACCGCGTACAGTAAGTGGGAGAGCGTGTCTCGAGCGCTGCGTGTGTGCGAGCGGCCCGTGGTCCTCAACAGAGCGTCCTCCACTAACACCACCAACCCGTTCGGCTCCACCTTCTGCTACGGATACCAGGACATGATCTTTGAGGTGACCTATTGTGTGTGTGTGTGTGTGAGTGTGTGTGTGTTATGTCCCTTATGTTGCTGGTTTTGTTACTGTGTGAGTGACTATATGAATTTGTGTATGTGTGCGAGTGTGCGTTATATGAGTTTTATGTTGATGGTTTTATGATTGTATGTGTGTTTATTTGAATGTGTGTGTGTGTCGTGTCTCTTATAATGTTGACCGTTATGTGACTGTGTGTGTGATTATATCATTGTATGTGTGTGTAATACGTCTCTTATGATGGGTTTTATGATTGTATGTGTGATATAAAATGAATGCATGTGTGTGAATGTGTGTGTGTGTATTGTATCTCTTATGTTGATGTTTTAGTTTTTGTGTGTATATAACTGTTCTGATATAAAACCTGTGTCTGTGAGGTCATATACCTGTTTTTCCTAATTAGGCACAATTTCAATCATACGATTGCCTTTTTAGTCATTGCTGTGTGCATGTATATTCTTCTATTAACACATCAAAAACTTTTGAACCCACATATATTGACGACTGAAAAGGAGATCAAAAATATCCTAAAGCACTTGAAACATAATATACATAGACGATATAATATTAATCCTTTTGTTTACCTCTGTTTCAACTTAACCCATCTCCTTTCAAAGATTATTTATTTATATTGCTTTTAACTAAACCCTAGTTATAATAATTATATTTGTTCGCAGGTGATGTCCAACAACTACATAGCGTCAATAACTCTGTACCAGCCGGAAGGCACCCGGCCACACTACGCGGTCACCTCGATCGCGTGACACAGCAAGGTCAGTGTGAAATAAGCCTTAGTGCGACATCCGCTACTTGACTTAAATACTCACTGTTTCAACGTACGCATGTTTACCGATATTACTTATGATCAACAATAGAAAGTAAAAAGATCGTGAGTTTTACTAGAAAAAATAGTCAAAAAACTTTAATGTATTCTTATTTATTTTATCTTTATGTTTGGAATTATCATAAAAATAATAATTGCAAATTTATTACAATAAAGCGATGTAAATGTTTAAAGATAGCGTCTATAAAAATGGTTAAAATGTAATATTAATTAACAATACACTTATTAAATATCAATAATTAATTAATCAAATATCTAAATGTCAAAAAACTTATAATAAAGACATTTAACAAAGTTTTTTTTATAATTTATAATAAAAAAAGTTAGCCAAATCCAAAAAAAAGAGTTTTCAATCAAAAAAGTATTTAATGCTGATAAAGTTATCTGATATACAGGTATCCTCGAATAATAAGTTCACATAGAAGTGCAGCCTCGAGGGACGCGGACCCGGAGGCAACAGTATTATTGTGATAAAACTGACGAAAAAAACACAAAAAAAATATATGTGAGTGATCTCAGGAAACAAAATGAATTCCTTAGCAGTGGACAGTAATATAATAATGTGTTCTACGTTTTTTTTTTGTCTAAATCTGATCGTAGTTATAAGCTGTATATAAAAAACTTATGTATTTTTTCTAAAATGGAAGTTCATGTGATAAAGAAAAAAAATGTGGCAAAAAAATTAATTTTTTTTTACCTCACCGGCACGATTAGGGTAGTTTAATATTTTCTCTCGTCTCGTAAGACGGCAGTGTTGTCGGTTTCTGATAGAGATCATAGATTTATTATTATTTTTTATCATAAGATACTTAACAGCGGCTAGTTAGTTGTCTATGGTCTAGTTTTTTCTACAATCTCTTAAACCGGCCGCGTATAATTTTGGCTGCAATGAAAAACATTTTAAACATATAAGAAAAAATCGTACATCAGCGAAAAAATATATCCTTTCAGTTAACCTACATGCAGCCAAAAAAATACGCGGTTCAAAAAAAAACAATATATTTTTCTCATATAATAGATTAAGTTAGTTGTGCTTGCTTATGCGATGTATGAATGGTTAAAAAGATTATCATTATATATATATAAATGGGCACATATAATATAAATCAAAAAAATAATATGTATACGAATTATCAACATATTTTCCTTTATTTTATCTGTATTTTTATTCGAATAATCTGTATTTTAATTAATTATTGTCCCATTCGAATTATTTAATGTTCAAGCCACTAATTATTACATTATTATTGAAAATGAAGGTCTATTTTTATTCGTCAAACATTTTGGATAGACTTTAAGTTGATTTGACAAATGTAACCACATCGATACATAAAAGGATATTTAAGATTTCCTCGTGGATTCGTTTAAATGAAAATAAGTTAAAAAATCATAAAAACGCGTAGTAATACACGAAAATCTTAGTTTCATTCAAATAATACACAATTATTATAAATAAAAGATTCAAAAAAGTTGCATCAGAATTATTAATTCAAACGTGTAAACGAGATTAAAACATAAATTACTTTGAAACTAAATATATTTTATTTGTTTTGGTCATTAAATATTTATTACGTCAATAAAAATAATGAAATGCTTCATTTTAATGTATTACGTAAATATATTTCAATGTCAAGGTCGGCCATGTTGTATAATTTGATAGGTTTACTTTCGCGCCGAAACTAAAGAACCGCTTTGAATTAACAAGCTACTTATGAATAAATAAACAGTGAATAATGTAATTAAAAATTTAAATCCCTACTAATATTATAAATGAGAAAGTAACTCTGTCTGTCTGTTACGCTTTCACACCTAAACCACTGAACTGATTTTAATGAAATTTGGTACAGAGTTGACCTTGAGAAAGAACATAGGATAGTTTTTATCCCTGTCTTTTGAAAGGTTTTCTTGGAGACGCGATATAACCGAACTCCACGCCCGCGAAAAGCTAGTTTTACATATTTTATGTATAAACAGGAATAATGTGTTACTTTTTATGATATCGATGTGGTTACTTTTTAACATACACACACATAGGCAATTCTGAAGTATATATATTTACATTGTAGTCAAATATACCAATTTTTTTTACCTCATTGTAATTTGTGCCAATGTGCATGCAAGAATTAACTTTGTTTTGTTGTCTTAAAGTCGAAATTTCGATGAAATGAGCTTAAATAGGCTACATCGCTTAGGCGCTGGTTGTGATGTTACAGTTTTTTAGGGAATATGATCCTTGGGTTAACGCAATAAAGTGTTAAATTGCTTTCATCGGAGATCCATTTAGGCTAAAGACTACTTTACTTTTAATAACTCGACGTTTTATGTAAATCTAATATTATGGCTGCGCATAATTTTATTTGTCACTAGTGTCGGTAGTATTTTCGCGTCTTTGGTCTAAAAAGTGTTTTCATATTTAGTAATTTATTTATGCACAAGCGAGTGTGATTGTCGTGTAGTGGCTGTGGTGCCATAAAAAAAATGATAAAAATGACAAATAATACATTAAAAAAAGGTTTTAATTGTAAGTTAGCTTCGTGCGCCCTTAGTATTGTACGGACGGAAAAAATGAATAATACTCAAATAATCACCTATTGTACCTATTTAGAAGTTTTTTTATGGCAGTTCATCGGAAATAACCGTACGATACTAGAGGGACTATTTTTATATAAGTTGGCGCGTCACGGCCGCCATCTTGGCGTCGCTGTCAACTGTCAAAGCACATTATTTTAAGTACATATAATAATTTTAGGTGAACGTAGTGTTGTTATGCATTTAGTGTATAATAATGTAAGGATACCCATTATTAAGTATGCATAATTATTTTTTAAATAACTTTCGATACAGCCAATGTTTTATTTATTATATCTTAGATTGTATTGTTGCGGCATTGTTGGAAAAAAAATTGTTGTTATTATTTTTATGTGAATATTTTGTGTTTTATGCTACTTACTGTTTTTTAATTAGCATTGTATGGATTTTTTTGATGTCGTAAATCGCTCCCGGAATTTTTATTGTCATTTTCTGAATGTAATATTCCGCATAAAGGATTTTTATTGTGTAAAAATGTGAAATATTCATATTTATTGTTAAAAACTTAGCATAAATCACAAAATTCATTCCTCGTGTAAATGTTTCACTTGTATGGACACCATATGAATCGGCGACTATCCATTATTGTCTCGTCTAATATAAAAGAAATGTGTGCTGAAATATATTTTAGTGAAATATTAAAAAAATCACCGCTTTTAAAGCTGACCAAATAAAAATTCGACGTTGATTTTTATATAGTAATATTATTTTAATAGCAAATTTATTATTTCCACATTATAATATGAATTACCTTAATTTAGCAATATATGTATATCAGTTTATACATGAAATTGGCGTTGAATAATTAGGATTTTTTTTTATTAAAAATAGACTTATTGAATCAGTTCCCTAAATAAGCAATAGATGGCGCTTACGATATGAATTTTCTATTTTGATAATTTATTCAAAAATATAAATAATATGTACCTACATAGAACTTAAAAATTAAAAATAATACTAGTGAATTTTATAATATTTCATAATTCTTAATAATTTATTTTATCACGTTCAGAATATTTTCAATAGAAGGTAACAAGGCCGTTTGACCTGACCTTAGACGCGATTTCAATTCGCAATCGAAATCGTGAAACAATAAAAAATATTATTTTATGGTAGAATATTGTGATTCTGAATTATTACCAGCGAGTAAAAACATTAATGATTTTACAAATCACTTATTTTATTTATTTAATTGAATTTAAACCAGGACTCCTTATTATTTTTATAAAACAAGAATATATTAAATGTATTGATTCATTAATAAGACATTAATGTTTTTAACTATTAACTACAAACATAATTTTAAATACGAACTCGGGGCATAAGTTCTAAAATTATAATTTTTATGATCAGCGCCATCTATTGTTATATACAAAGACTATTTTTAATCCGTTTTATAAAATCTATTGATCTACTTTTCTTTGATGAAAATGAATTAATTATTTATTTATGTTTTCTAAAGAATATTATTTGTACAATATTAGAGTAATTTGGAAATCATGTTTTTTTTGTGTATTATATGTAATAATTTATTAGTGTAATAGAAAAAATATCACTTAACTGTCAATTAAAACCGTTTCTGTTGTCTTTGTATTTTAATGTTTTATGGCTATGCAATACTTAAAATAAAACGCTTAGAATGTCCACCATTCAAATAACGATAATTCAAAATTATTTAAATTTATTTTCCATGTACCGATTGTAAATTGTGGTGATAAAATGTCGAAGTGGGTATTAAAAATATGTCTCAAAGATACCGAAAAACAATAAAGGCTTTCATACCGAACTTAGTTTTTTTCTTATATTTATTTATATGCTAGAAATTATAATATACCAAATACCAATAAATAATGAGATAATTACTGAGGATTTTGTAATAAGCAATTTTTTAATTTAATTTTTCATTTATAAAGAAATTTAAGAATACATTTTATCCTGTGTAGCTATGTGCCAAATATATGTTCAACCGAATAGGAATATTCTGTTAATTTTGATGTTCACAAAATATTTTAAAGAAATATATTAGAAGGACTGACACATAACAGATATAATCTAAGACTGTACATAGTTTAGTATTTGATTCATTATCAAATATTCTGTTCCTATCATTGCCAGACAGAATTATCTCATTATCAAATGAATTCGGTAATTATCCCGAAAGTTAATCGTATATTCGGCCGAATACGAACACAGGAATACGCCGGACTTGCCGAATAGGAACATTAATTGGATCTCTGATAGGAACAAACTAGGTTATATCATCATCAGCTTATCAGAGCCCACTGCTGAGAGGCCTCTTCTCACATGAAGAAGGTTTGAGCATTAATCACC